ATTTCAAAACGAACAAAGAAATTCCTAAAAAATATCCGACTTTGAATCTTTTGTATCATATAATAAAAACAATACAATCATACGTATTTTGGTATATATTTTACTCTTCATTGTAACATTAAAAATATAAATATCCGAGGTCACAAGTTCATGGCATCAGTCTAAATATTGTGTATTTTCCATATTGATATTGAAGAACATATAATTTCTGCCAGTACTTTGACAAATCGGAGACGTTTGTATCCACTTGTTAATATTTACTCAGTCCTTGTGTCGAATAATTGGAATGAATGTTTGTTTCTAGTCGGCATCACTGCTTGTCAGAATATGTCTTACTGTTACGACGGACATATTTGGTTTCCGGTGAACCAGTTTTTCTTTTTGTTGTATATGTGTTTATTTAAAAAGTCTTTAAATAATTCTCTGTAGATATAGCCATGATGAGATGGCTCTGTCAATGCATCATAACGATAATGATATCATTATATTTCAATGACTAAACTCGCCCCAAATACTCGTTTTTTGTTGCTTTGTTGTTGATGCTTTTTTGTTGTTGTTTTATCTTGCTGTTGCTGTTTTTGTTGTTGCTGTTGCTGCTGCTGCTGCTGCTGTTGTTGTTGTTGTTGTTGTTGTTGTTGTTGTTGTTGTTGTTGTTGTTGTTGTTGTTGTTTTAAATAGTCAATATACAAAATTTAATTGGTGTACGTTTTATAATGAGAAGTAAAGAAACATAAGTAAATTTTGCTGTTTCATCAGGACCGACGGATATCATTTTATAAATACACTATACGTAAGCACGATTCTTACAGCGTCATATAGAATATATATTTTAGTCTATGTATCACTTTGAATATGACCTGAATGATCGTCATATAGTACATTATCTTAAAAACTATCTAGATAGTAATATTTTATATGTTTTGACAAAGAGAGGGGACATTTTGACAATTGACTGTATATGATATTGAATATTTCAATGAGAAGTAATATAACTGTATATAATAATTTAATAAAACATGCAGCACTTTTAGATATATTCTTTACATCATCATGGTTCTGGGATTTCTAATATCATGCATCATTTAAATTTTGTAATAGCAGCATTGATGTCGATCAAGATCTCCTCAATCACAGGCAAGGAATCTGTCACTCAAAGTATTCAATTTACTGCGTCAATTAGTCTAGCTCATTACACGTGGAATCTATTGTAAGATTTAGGAGAGGTTTCAGCTTGTGCCACGTCATGTTTCGGTTTTTGTATCATGTAATTATTCACGTTTTATATAAAACCTGAGATATCGACATTTATTTTTTAAAAACTCAAATGAAAGATTTGCTATAAGAAACATTAGGTTAGTAAAACTAGAAAGCGTGCGTTATTTAAAGCTCAATACACCATTTTATCATTACATTATTAACACCTTATTGCACAAATACTGATTTAAACTCAAATACTCCAAAATAGTCTTTTCACTATCTTATCCATTATTCTATAGATACACATTCCATCGCAATTTAGTGCACATATAAATGATTATCAATAAACTACATGCGCAAAGAACTTATGATAACTTTAAGCAAAGTACAAAATTTTGCTTTTTAAAATGTTTCTTCTATTTTTGGTAACTCTGTTAAAAAGGATTAATTCACTTGTTAATAGGGTTAATTCACAGGTAGTATAACCTTGATATTGGGAAGTAGATGTACCAGTATAAGAATAATTTCACAAAGTTTGCCCTGCCATGTTTAAATGTTGGATTCTGTTGCGAACGGAACTTTGCAATTACCACTTACATCCATGAAAAGGCTCCATCAAACCAGACCTACATTATTTTAACTTTGCTTTTTTGGGATGTTCTTTAGCGATTTCGCTATTATCTATTTGTAAGGTACTTAGTTCGTTGAATGCCGCCTTTTCTGCTTGACCTTTGTTCTCATATTTTCAGATGCATATAATATTTCATTTTTCATTTCCACGCATGACAAAAAAGAACTGAGGCTAAATGCTGCCTAAAATTAATACAAATATATTTTTGACTTCTATTAAACAGGTTTTTTGTATAACGAATACACGTATTTTTAATGACTTTAATATATAATATATCAAGATATTGCTCTATGTTTTCTTTCATCCAAAACGAAAATAACGAAGGGATTTATTAAACACAGCTATAAGAGAAACACAAAAGCATAAAAAGCAAATACACGAACATCTGTGGTAAAATTACCTTTATTACGTTCTATAAACATTGAACATCTAACAAGTGAAGAGTTTTAAAGTTTCTATGTTTCCTTTACAAAATTACCCAATTAGTGCGAATGAACAAGCAAAGAAACACATAAATAAGAAGATGTAATAACATGGGATGTAGGATTAAGTTCTTACAGGAAAAGTATATATAAATCTTTTTTCGCCTTGGTTAAACGTTGGATTTATGCCTATCATAAAATACGAGATATCTACTTAACACCTATGGAATTCTTTTCTCCCTTTGATGATGTAATGTTTCATTTCACTATAAAAGTAAACATAGGCTGGAAAACAATTGATGTTGTTAATTTTATGCGTGTATTAAAAAGATCAATTATGAAAAACGTGAAACTATAAAATGTGCCCATGTTAGATGCTATTTGTGTAGGTTTTCAGAAATTACACACAACTTATAAATTTACAAGAAATCATGGGATACACATGTCGGTAGTAGATTCTATACTATCTTTGCCTTTGGAATAAACTGTAAAATTGGTGGTTGACTGATCACATCACTCACTTTTGTTTAACTTAACAATAAATGATATATTTCAATCATTCATGTATTACGAACGGCTGTTGTCTTGATTTGTATTTTCAACTGCATTCTTTTTGGGTGGGGTCAGGCTGCTTGTCTTCCCAAGTAAAATATTTTATTTCTTATTGCGATGGTCGCCACAAATCTGAACCATTGAGAAGGATTTATTTAAAAAATAAGATATTGGCTAAAATAAAAAAATATATATAGTGTTACTTTGACAATAAAAGATTAAAAAAAGTTTTGTATTATATCATATTCATAACCATATCTTCAAAGTGACCGCTGGTTTCACAAGTATAAAAGACAGCAATCAGAAAGTATTGAAATTTTGTTCACTGTAGTTGTTTTCCTTGCACTATTTTTTTTCTTAAAATCTTTTAGGAATAATAACGGGAAAAAACTTTGTGATAAGCTCATGTACATGTAACTGTTTGAATGTAAACACATTTTAGTTGAATTCAACATTTAAATTTGCTAATAATTATTAATAATTTAGAAAGAACATTAACAGGACTGGTGAATTCATAAGAAGGTGATCATAGACATTTGATGTCACACTTTATTAATAAATAAAAGTTTCAAGGCATTATGTTCTCTATGCACTTCTTGTTTTGACTAAAATAGTTAAAATGATTCCGATCGGTGCAGTGTGCTTGGTGCATTCCTTGGGTTTATTTAGAACTAACTTAATTTATCAAGAAAACTTTTTTTCTGAGAATGGACTCTTTTTGTGAGCAAAAAAACGCCCAATGTAAATATAGCTATCAAGTGTATAAATTCCAACAAAGGACTTATTTTATCAGTTACATAATTCTTGTTACTCTTATTCATTTACCACGTTCAAATATTACGGTGCCCAGTAAGGGTAATTCTTTGTCACAAAAATTTTGTCACAAAAATTTAGATAACTAAAAACCGTTTTATAAAAATGTTAGTCAGTTAGAAAGCAAGTTAATTAATAACGAGCATCCTCCAATGTTGAAGTAAATAATGATAATGTTTTTCTATACCTTTCTATACCATATATTTGCTTAGTCTTATGTCATAATTTAAACTTGAACTTAATATGACCGATACGCTGAAGTTAACTCTTGTTAAAGTTTTTATCTCAACATTATTAGTCATATATAAGTGTGTTTGCAAATATAGGGAAGAAAGCTACTTAATATACATAACTTTAATATCATTGGACCGACAACTGACCAGGTATGTATGTTTATTTTTTTCTAAAAAGTCAACAAAAAAAATTCTTAAAATATGAAAATCTAAAACATAGTTCATAACATGTTGTATATGTATTTGGATTATACAAAATTGTAGTGTTTGTGGAGACAATTTGGACAAATACATGGCATGTATGCTTGACAGCATGTATAAATGTTTGTTTCTTTGGTTCGGTTTAACTGCGCACAAACACAATTTAGGTCATACGGCGCATCTAATAATCACACAAGGATAAAAACGGTGGCTGCAATTATGATGTCTCATCCCTTATATGCAACCCCTCCGCCACCAGGGGAGTGTAAAAAGTGTTAATATATGTACTGACTAGATACAATGTAAAATAATTCTGGATGATTCTCCGTTGGATATTGAAATCTTTGTGTAGTAGATAATTATTAGGTACAATGAGGTCACTATAATACCTAAATTTATTTTGACAAAACAGTACTAGTCAGGAAGTCAACTACAATTATTTATTACATGCTTTTCGGTGGTTTATAGAAATATATCAGTGATATAAAACTGGTAATTTCACTGTTTGAAACAGTGAAATTACCACTTTGATAATTTCACTGTTTTGAATTTAAGCCCCTTACGTTGTTTCAGTGAAATACCAGCGTGCACAGTCCTGGGTACCAACTTAGTAACGTGACGTCGTAAATGACGTCACGTTGTATTATTATTTGGCGCGCTTTTCATTCAGTATTAGATTTAATGTCTTTTTAAAACGTTTATTTGCATATAATAAAAAGAAAATTTGTTTAGTTTAGTGTAAGATCGAAATATATTTCACCTTTGAACACCAAAAGTTCATATTTCACTCGTGGCTGCGCCACTCGTGAAATATACCTTTTGGTGCTCACTCGGTGAAATATATTCCGATCTTACACTGAACTAAACAAATATCCTCTATATATAGCACAAGGGTTTATCTATCCATGTATATGGGTCGTCTTAACATCGTTTCATCACCTTAAAGGCTGTCAGGAAAAGAAATATTTACAAGTTACGTCTATGCGATTGTATTTAGGACATCTTTGTTCAAGAGCATGGCTACCAAAGAAGATAAACCGAGGTTGTTTCTGAAACGGAAAGTTTACAAGGGGGTGACGATGATGGAGAACGAGGTCGAGGAAATAGAGAAAATGGAAACGAGGCCAGATGATATCTGGGTCTGCTCTTTCCCGAGATCAGGTATGACATTGTAAATGTAAAATTTCATGTGAAAAAATATTTTTATTGTGTAGTTTGGGTTTTGGGTATTGGGGGTTTATTGTTTTCTTTTTGTTTTATAATGTCTGTGTTGTTGTTGTTGTTGTTGTATTTTGTTTTATTGTTTGATGGTGTGTGAGTGTGTGTTTTTGTTGTTTGTTATTTGTTGTTGTTTTTTTTTCTTTTTCTATTGGGGGTGGGCTTTGGTTTCCTTTTTTCTATTATTATATTGCTGTATTATACGATTACATAGCAATATCAATATCTAACTGATCGGTATATATTGTTAACTTGTTTTCAAGCTCAGCTCTTCTTAAAGCAAATAACTTTTGTGGATATTTCTAATCTTTTTGATCAAGACAAACTAGTTCGTCACGTTACCGTTGATTAAAAGCTAGAGAATGACTTACAGGAACAACTATGACACAAGAGATGGTCTATCTGATACAGGCACTAGATTTCAAAACAGCCAAGTCTGAACAGTTGATGTCAAGGTTTCCGATCCTAGATGTTAAAGATGACAGGTATCCCTATTATAAAGGTTCGTCTATTGTCTGTCATTCACATACATGACATGCTTTCATCCTTGACTCTTTTAAAAGGTTTAGATATAGACAACGCTCTTAGAAAATATGTACCCTAATGACATTATGAAACAATTACGTTAGAGGCTTCTCAACCTGCAAACAATGCATTTTTTTTCTTTATATTAAAGCAAGACTAGTGTTTTTCAAAACATAATTTGCTGTGTTCAAGAGTACATTGTGTATCGTTTTTGTTGATAATGTTCCTCAGTAGCTCTTAGATCCATATTTAGAAGTCCCGTTTAACACTTGAAAACTTAGTATAACAATGTTACAAGAATTATCGCAAATGTTAAAAAAAAAAATTTCGGTATCTTTTAGGTTTAAAATACGTTCAAGAAATGAAATCTCCGAGGTTCATTAAAACACATCTTCATCATTTCCTCCTTCCTGAACAATTACGAAATGGTAAAGGCAGAGTGAGTAATGTATACGTCTTATTTATATGATATAAACATTTATATTATATAGCATTCATATTATATAACATTTATACTATATAACATTCATATTATGTAACATTAAATTTTATATTATCTAAAAAACTATATTATTATATAACTAAACGGACAGGGACAGATTTTTAAACCGGGAAATATTTGATGTAAACCAAACAAAATATTGGCTCGAATTTATATATATTGTAATTTAATTAAACGGGTTTGTCATGCTTATGACATGGCTTCAGATAATTCACTTTGTCTTAGAACATACCTAAAAGCTAATGATAAAGATAATGACATGTTTATCTACAAATTTTAACTTAAATATTATCGTTAAAAATGCCCTTAACATCTTACATCATATTATAATAATCTCATTTGCCTTGCACGTGGGTAAATTATTTCATTTAATCCATTTTAAGTGATTAATGATTATGTGTAATATTTTATATTCTGTAATTAAACATGCGTAATTAAAGGTCGGAAGCGAAGCGCAAATAAATGAAATCATCTCGAAATTCTCTAAATTTATTTAGTTATAATAAACAAGTATCATCCTATCATTAGATATGATGAATTTTACCGAATCAACAGACTTCAAGCAATGTTCCTTAAGTTGCTTTAGAAGCACTTAGTGCGGAAGCTTATCTATAAAAATGAGATTATTCTAAATTACGAATGAATCATTGTTTTTTGTGTATTTCAAATGTTTTCCACTCTCCCTTTTAATAATTGATGTCTATTTTTGTTCTTTTTTGTATTGAAGATAATTTATATAGCTAGAAATCCCAAAGATTTGGTTGTATCATTTTATCGTTTGATGCATTGGGGCGATCAACTAACTGAGGAGGAGACAACGTTTGATAAGTTTATAGACACATTCGTAAATGGAAAAGGTGTAAATATAAATTATCCTTCAAGAACTTACGTGCATACATTAATTTTTTATTTGAAATGTTGAAGCTTCTAGATTTCGTTTTTCAAAATGCAAGTATTTGAATTTAGATAAGTTAAAATGAAAACAATTTAGAAAACAAAAAGATTCAAAAGTCATGGTCGCTATGATTTACAAAACACACTCATATCATCTTTAACATATTCATTAGGTTTGGATGTTTCCACTTCATGCTTGAAAATGCTTCAAGGATTAATTTATTATTTATGTTTCTAATTTCTCAAATTTATTTCTTAGCCCTTTGTTACTCCATTTAAGAGAGCAAGCTATGTTAGAAAATTTTTTTAAAAGTGTTATACATTTAAGGTTATGCTTGCCCATGGCCGAGGCACGTACTTGAATACTGGGAGAGAAGAAATGACAAAAACGTTCTTTTCCTGAGATACGAGAATGTTATCAAGGTACATCAAAGTATTTGCCATATATTTCAAAGAAGGTTTACAAAAAAAACCCGAAAAATTGGATTAAATATTACTACTTGTATTTTAACACTCTTGCATGAAAAGAATAAAAATCTGAAAACCATATTTCACTGAAATTTGAAATTGATTTATTTCCTTTTTAAAGACATAGTATTATCAAGAATTTATTGAAAATTAAAAACTAGATATACTATAAATAAATCATTCATAGAAATCAATATATACGTTACATCCGATCATTATGATGTCATATTTTTCTTTGGCATACACCAGCTTATTATTTCTGTATTAAGGATAAACCTGCCACTATTAGGGAGATAGCAGAATTTTTAGGACGTAAACTTACCGATCAAGATGTAGAAAGAATAACAGAGCATTGTAGGGTTGAGAATATGCGGGATAACCCAATGGTGAACTTGGCTTATTTTAGGGATATAAAGACATTAAATGATGACGCTGATGGAAGGTTCATTAACGCTGGTTAGTATAAAATTTCCGTTACTATACAATGAATAGATGACTTTTCAGCATTTCTTTTTGCTCAACAAGAAAGGTCACTGAAAACATAGCGAAGTGAATTAATACGCATCATATTTAAATTTTATATTAATCGTTTAAATATTAATCCCTTTAATACATGTATATACATTTTATGTGTAAATAGACTCAGAAAAGTTTAAATATCTAAATTGATGTTTTAAAAACATAGATGTAACAATTGACCTGGAGGCATTCATGCACCAATCGCTACGATAACTGGCATCAACTCAGCCGTTTTGTGAAATTTTGGAAAATACTTCTCTTAAAAGCTTTAACTGACTTTCAGGTCAATCCGGAACATGGCAAAATAAACTGACACCAGAACAAAGTGCCAAAGTTGACAAACTTATTAAAGAGATAGAGGGATCCGGTCTCACATTTTAACATTATTCGAAGAATTTATTAGGCGAGGATTTAAAATGTATCTATTTTTCAAGGTTTTGTATTAAACTGAAATTAAATTACTATAAGATTTATGTTCAAGATGTATTGCTTTAATTTTGTCTTTATTCTTATGTTATATTGTTTTCCTCATGCTTTGAGGATTTCAAAGAATTAAAACAAACCGTCTACCCAGTGTGGCATTCATGCCAGCAATTCTTTCCAGTATCAACAACGCAAAAGCAATCTATTGTGATATTTTAAATATATTGCGCGTCCTTTCACTGTTCTGAAAACAGCCATATCAAAGAATGCGAGAATTGACTAGGTTTGCAAATACCAAAAAGGTATCACTTGACTACGTAACAATCATATACACATATTACTATGTAACATTCATTCAAGTTCGTGCTCATTGTCAACCTGTGTGCGGATTTCTGACAATGGGATTTGACCATTGCAAGCCCTAAGCAAATCAGAATAGAGAATTCTGTACTGAATGAGAACGAAATGGACGACAACAGATCTCAACAAGGGACACCTTCGGGTTGACCTATATCAGTGTGGTTGATACCGCACCATTCTGCATAGTCTTTATTTCACTTTGCGCCAACATAAGTATAATAACTGAAGCAGATGTAATTTGGTGCAATTAAAAACTAATGCCCAAATTCATTATACATTTTTTAAAAACTAACACGATTTTTTTTTATCTATATGGTACATGATGATGAAGACATAAAAACACCATATATCATCAAATATATTATTTATTTTAATAAAATTATAACAATTATTTTATCTGTACGTCATGTTAAAATTTAAATTAAAATGCAACAACTAATACTGTACAGGCAATAAAAGAAATCATCAATAAAATCATAAAAAAATAGTCATGTCAATTGTACCTAAGCAATTATAAAACAAACAAAAAACACATGATCACCGGCATACTGGCATAATAAGCCCATCCAGTCAATTTTCAGCGATCATCACTAGTAATTCTACAGAACTGCACATATTCGAGAGGCTGACATGGCCTACTGCCAGTGTTACGCTAAGTAAACCTTTCCTTAAACTCGATCAATTACAAGTCTTTTTTCTTCAATAGTTGTGGAGAAACAGTTTGCATCATGATACTATTTAAAGTACATAAACAAATCTTAAATAAGCCTTTAATTATTTTCAACATTATCTGAATGATTATTTCGCTCTATATGTTTTGCACTTTAGCACTAAGAGCATAACATGAACAACAAAGAAGAGATATATGTATAGCAAGTCACTTTGTCATTTGATAAATAGTTTAATTGTTGTTTAACTGCATCTTACCGCATTTTTGTAATAAATTTACAGGCAAGAAGTCAACTTAACGGTTGTTCCTAGATGTTCCTTCAAATTCTTGTGTATAGATATACTGGCAACAAATTCTAGCGAGCATTTGTAAACATATAATTTATCATGTCAATAAAATTTAGGTAGGCGTGTCATTTTTATGATCATCAGATTGTGCCGTTTTATGTCTAACAGAAAGCCTCGCTTTAATCAGGAGAATAAGGAAGGCAATTATTCTGTACGCAATCATCATGCTTATAAGCACATAAAGGTCTGTCCAGATATTGTCCTGTAAATGAATAAAGATAAATATTACAGAGTAATTCTTCGTCACACGTATTTTTCCACAAATTGACCTGTAAATAAATCAATGTAAAATACATACTTAGGTGATTGATTTGTTTTTTGGGGTTTTTTTTCTGGATTTTTGTTTGAGTTTTACGACGCACCAACACAATGAAGTTCATTTGGGGACTTTCTCGCTTTACTTGTGGAGGAAGACCTCGGGTTCCCCTCCGTGCATTATTTCAGGTGCGATCGGCCAACTTAGTAGAACCACCGACGTTTACGTAAGGTAGCTGGATAGCTTCTTGACATGTAAAAATCCAAAGACCCTGGTGGGATTTGAACCTACAGCAGTTAGGACAAGCGGTTTGAAATGCATTTTGACCTTTAACATTAGGTCACGTACGCCCGAACCCGCCGTCTTTTCTAGATAATAAATTTTAAACCATCATTATTATAAGCGTTTTTTTTTTTTTTTTCACGAACATATAAGTCCATCCATAATTGTCTCGTAACATTATAATTGTAAAATTACCTGGGTTATTTATTATATAAAAAATACATATACTAATTTTGAATGAATATTAGCAATGCTTTTAAATTTTTGTTTAATCTTTTGAAATATTGAACACATCAAACTACGTGTATTTGAGTATACTTATATTTGTTCAAATTTAAGTCCAGGTCCAAATTAAACAATATATTTGCCATTTTCTTGTTACAACAAAATTTAATGTTAAACAATTTGTAGAATTTATATCCACCGCCTGATGAAACAAATCACTTGATTGAAGCTTCTAATTATTTTAAATCTCTGAATATGAATCGAAATAGATTTTGTAATATTGCAATATTCCCTTCCAATATCATTGCCAGGTTGAGCAGAAACGCATTGTGTATACATTACCTTATCAAAGTTCAAGTAATCTATCACATCCTCGCCATTGTCAAATAAACATTTGTTCGATTGTTTCTGTGTGACGCCAGGAGTTGCTGACGTATTTCTATTTGCACATGCTTAATGTAAGAGATAGTTCAATCAATTGCAATAAAGTTACTACATTTTGTTTATTTTTACATAATCCATTTTAAGCCTATCGGTGCCAATGTATACAAACATAGGAATTTACAAGGGTTGCCATTTTATGCAAACTTATATTGAATTAGTTATACAATTGGCGTGAGGGGAACCTGTACGGCAACAAACCTAATTTTCCATTAACACGCCAGATATCTCAGGGAAAAACTACAAAAAAAATCATTTGACAAGTGTAGTATAAACGTCTGAAGGGTGTAATAAAACGTTTGACACTGTAATATAAAAGAATATAAGTAATGGTTATATCACGAGTATATTAAAAACAAGCAAAGCAAATGAAATATTATGTTGGATTCAGAATTTTGTTCAAATGACCTAAAACAAAACCAGGGAAAGACCAATTTTACTACTGTAAATCATAAAATTGTTCTAATGCCATTCGAATAAATATTCCGAAATGATTGTACAAACGTTTAAGAATTTATCATATTAAATGATGTATCATACTTACGGATACTGTCAACGTTTTCCCATTGGTTGATAGCTATCATCTCATTTGAATATTTAAACCAAGATAAATATTCCAACCATATGAAATACACGGGAACAGAACTGTAATTAAGGTATGAATTTATGACAAAACTAAAAACTATATAACATTTGCAAACAGCCTTGTACATTAAAGCAGTAGAGTATGACTCCATATTCATGCTAATTTTAGAGAAAATTTAAAAATTTATTAAAGAATAAAATATTGTCAACTGAATAATAAAGTAATTGACACATTGCAAACGGCACTTAAAGTCTACGAATATTACCATAGTCCAGAATATGCTAAAATAGCCTTTGCTGCGTTAGTAACGCAGTAGAAATATGGTGATATATGCTGCAAAATCAGTCATTAACTGCATACAACATTTACATTATTTCTTGAATTGTGAATATTTTTTCTTTTCTTATAATCTTAGAACATTTTTTCAAGGTTGATTTTTGAAAATATTTTGGCTTATCTGGATGCACGCACCTTTAAGTTAACATAAAGAAGAAGTTTAAGAAGTATAATCTTGTTTAAATTTAAATTTCTGTAGGAAACTGGTTCTCTTAATATAGTCTTTATGCCTGATTTCATATACGTCTCTTTGGCATCTCGATCCCTTGATACCCGGAATCCTTGATACCTAACCCTTACATACCTCGAACCCTTTCAAACCCCGAGTTCATTTCATAGAAATGGACACCTACAATTTCTTTATAAACGATACTGAAATGTTTAACTTACTCTTTGTTTAAGAAGAAACCACCAAACATTATCAATGGTATCATAAGAGGAGGTGCAATAGCTAATGCGGTCGTCACGGAGTTAGCACTTGTTGAGACAATGTACCCTTCAATACAAACATCCAATTAAAACGATTTATTAATTTTGTTCAATCGATAGTCATTTGTTAGAATTAACTTAAATTCCATTAAACAAATATAATTCATAGTGCATTGTCTTTGACAAGATTCGTTTATTGAGCTTAATAATTAATTTTCCAATGAATATGCAACCACGGATTATTCCAACTTTTTTTATTTTCACTTTCAGGTGAAAAGCCCAAAATGCTATCATTTTATTTCTCAAAAACATTTTGTTTTTGGTATCTTGTTTAAGTTTCTAAAACCTTTCTCATTGGCCATATAGATTAGATATATATATTGCTTCCTTTGTTCTTCGGCAATTGATCATTATATTTGTTTAGTATTTTATTAGAAATATTAATACTACTTTCTTTAAATTTCGCTACCTTTATGACACATTGCTTCGTGTTCGGTGCTAGAATCTTCAGTTGTTTAACATTTAACATATTCTAAATTCATTATTGAAACTTTATGAAACAAATACTCAACCTTTCTAAAGAATTTAATCTTAATGGTTTCTGGGGCATAAAGTGCCTTTAAAGGTTTGAGATAATGTAATTAATATCTTTAATTTAAAAAAAAAGATAAAAAAACATTCAAGGACAGGAGTTTATATTTAGATTGTATCTGAAATAACTTTCGTTAATACACTTACCGAAAGAAACCGAAATGTTTGCAACTAGCACAAGTATGCCAGTAAACACAAGAAAGGCCATAAATGTGGAATACAATCCTGAAATATACCATGTTATATTGAATATCATTATCACCTCCGTTAGAAAAAATATACTTAGGTATTGCTTTTCAAATACATAAGTAATGTATAATGATACGAGATAAACTGATAAAAAGTTTTAGGAATATTTCGGTGTTTATTGCAAAACAATACGTTCCAGAGTATAATAATTATTCAATTTCAATGATCAATAAATCGATGAATTTAATAAAAACATCTGCTGATGATTCTTATAAATATTCATTAATAATATATCAAACATACTTAAAAGTAGCATTATAATATTATTTTTTTAATTTTGTTAATGAATAATAAATAGATTAATCAAATTAAAAAATCTGCTAATGATACTTAAATATACTTATTCATGTGTCAAACGTAAATAAAAGTTGAATATATCTTGATATTCTTGTATTTTACTAGTATACAATGAGTATTTTAACAAACATATACAACATACAGTAATGCAGAAAGATCAAGTATTATATCATAAATATTATATTTTAAAGAAATCAGACTTTTTCTTAAATCTTTTCAAATGATTTGAAATGCTATATACATAGATCATGGTGATTTTATACTTTATCAGCGGTACTTACCTACCATCCAATATGTTATTGCACAAAACACAAGTGGTATAACGATAAAAGTAGGGAGCTGAAAATATATATTTTCATATATAAATGTAAACTTACTTTGCTGTTGAGAAAATTAAACAATTCATGTGTTATATAATAATATATAAAGAATTATTTATAATATGTTATTAAGATTATAATAATGATTTATCTTGCAATAAAGTTATTTGTATTGTATCGTATCGTATGCTACCGTATAATGCATTGAATTGTATTTGTATTTATATTTATTGTATTGTATTGTATTGTGTATTTAATGCATTGATTATAAATGAACAGAATTTTCATTGTATTTATATTTGTATTGTATTGTATTGTATTGTATTGTTTTGTTTTGTTTTGTTTTGTTTTGCTTTTCTTTGTATTGTATTGTGTATTTATTGCATTGCATTACATTGTATTGCATTGTATATTGTATCGTGTATTTATTGTTTTGTATATTTTTGTAAATTATTCTGTATTGTATTATATTGCGTACACACTTACCAACAGATAATACAAGTATTAGTGTAAACCTTAATATGATGCATTATTGCGGAACTACATTAAAATTTTATCATCATGCACGTGCAAACAGAAATACATGTATATACCTCAGCAAAAGACTTGCACAGGAAGTAGACATCTGCCCCATACAAACCTGTAGCATACTCTCTGAAAAATATTGGCGTTTCTAATGGAAACGACTGGAAAAAAATAAACACGCATTTTATTTACAATCTTTCTATTTGAACCTATATAGTTGGAAAGTTTTTGTCGCAATGCATAAGCTATTTATATTTAAGTAAATATCTTATTTGATTTATTGAATTTGATATGGTACTCAAGAAGTTATAATTCTAATACGAACAAACAAACATAAAGTAAGACAATCGTTTAAATGATTTGATTTCTATTTCACTTGTTTCATGGGTTTTGTGAGAAGGGGGCTATGATACTTGCATTTAAAACACCGAACACGTTCAAGAATGTCAACTTGGATAGCAATAGAGTAAACTAAATACTTACATTTAAAACACCAAATACGTTGTTTGATAGCAATAGAGTAAACTAAATACTTACATTTAAGACACCAAATACGTTGTTTGATAGCAATAGAGTAACACTAAATACTTGCATTTAAGACACCAAATACGTTGTTTGATAGCAATAGAGTTACACTAAATACTTGCATTTAAAACACCAAATACGTTGTTTGATAGCAATAGAGTTACACTAAATACTTGCATTTAAAACACCAAATACGTTGTTTGATAGCAATAGAGTAACACTAAATACTTACATTTAAGACACCAAATACGTTGTTTGATAGCAATAGAGTAAACTAAATACTTACATTTAAAACACCAAATACGTTGTTTGATAGCAATTGAGTTACACTAAATACTTGCATTTAAGACACCAAATACGTTGTTTGATAGCAATAGAGTAACACTAAATACTTGCATTTAAAACACCAAATACGTTGTTTGATAGCAATAGAGTAACACTAAATACTTGCATTTAAGACACCAAATACGCTGTTTGATAGCAATAGAGTAACACTAAATACTTGCATTTAAGACACCAAATACGTTGTTTGATAGCAATAGAGTAAACTAAATACTTACATTTAAGACACCAAATACGTTGTTTTATAGCAATAGAGTAACACTAAATACTTGCATTTAAGACACCAAATACGTTGTTTGATAGCAATAGAGTAAACTAAATACTTACATTTAAGACACCAAATACGTTGTTTGATAGCAATAGAGTAACACTAAATACTTACATTTAAAACACCAAATACGTTGTTTGATAGCAATAGAGTAACACTAAATACTTGCATTTAAGACACCAAATACGTTGGAGAATGTCATGTTCATGAGAAGAAGGAAAAGAACTCCGTTGATATCTTGTACACCAGTTTGACTTAATTCTAGGCGTAGATATATCAACCCTAGCACAACAGCAATCACCTGAAATACTGTCACATTTATAGTCACCTGTTTCTTTTAAAATATCATTATCCTTTATAATACCTTGCAGAGTATAATGTTCAAATTATAAGCACGAGAAAAATGTTCATATACACTTCGTGTAATAGCTCACTTTAATATTTGAATGAAGTCCACTGGGTTGTGCTTTTTTCTTGATTGTGTGAACAATTTGATGTAGATCCAGACCAAAAACTTGTGTGCAAGATTTTAGATCAATCGCTTAGTCAGTTTTATCACGGTTCTTTTGGTTTTAACAGAATGGGCAAAATGTTAAAAATCTACACAAAAAGACATTTCCAATTAAATATCGAGTATATTTCTTTTGTATATATCTTGCATATTTATTTGTTTTAAGCGCCCAAGTTGATTAATGTAAAATATTTTTATCATCTTTTCAGCATTTGAATATCAATGGAGTCCATTTAATGTATTGTTAATTGTTGTAAATGTTCTTTTTATATCAACTTGACCTCTATGTGAGGAAACATGATTGCTGCCTATATTGCGTTTGTCGTTTCTTTAACATCACGTTTAAAGTAAGACCCAAAATACAATGAGATGCCACTTTTTGCTCGTTTTTGTTTTAAGAATGTAAACGTAATATTGACGAATAAAATGGTTTTTATAAACGAGTTTTTATCATTGACCAATCATTGTTATGTGTTTATAATGTTTTTATCAACTTACAACAGTTTGTGCGATCCTGACACGTGTAACCATGGGTTCTCTGATTACAGTTTTCAGTGATCTCTTGAACACCGCTTTAAATTGTTGCGTCCACGTAGCCTCATACCTACCCGCATATTAGTTTATGTTAATACATGTACATCAATATAGTTCAATTTCAACAGAACAAATTAAAAACAAAACTTTTAAATTTATTTCCAAAAGAACGTTTGGATGAGCGAAAGAGACAGTATTGTCATAACGACTGGGTAAATGACGTTTGTCAGTAAATCAAAGTGGTTTGATTTGTAAAACATATTTCTTTCAATGCCCATTAAGCCATAAATGCGTATATTTCCTTTGCGTTTTGGCATTAATGCTCTTGCAGTAATTAAGTATTGTATGGAAGTCAAAATACCAATTTGTTAACATTTATCATAAATTATATTGCAAACCGTGATATTTTCTTAAGGTGATAAAAATCTCACAATTTTAAGAAGATATTAAAACTTACGATTGCCCTTTCTACAGAAGGAAATTGTATTCATCTCTAGGGCCTAATGTGCTTTTAAGCTTTTACTTCATAATTATCTCAATATATGTATGTGTCTAATAAATAGTATAAATGTTTGAATAGTTTGTATAAAAAATGCAGTTATAAAAAGATAAAAGTAACATACAACTTACCTTGATGAATGACTTGTGGCTTCGTCAAACTAAATAAATGAAACAAATAAAAACATACTCAAACATTAGTTTGTTACATATATGTTCATTCATGTATTATTTAGCGCTTCATTTTGTGTCGGAAAACACTAGTCCAGTAATGAAGCATAAACTTGAAGATTATTGAAAACACATTTACATGTTTTTAAACATATGTTTATTTGTCATCCTGTTCGAAAAATATATAACAAATGGTAACTCTTCCTTGTGTCTTTTCAACGTTACAAGTAGCATATTATCTTGTATCATAGTATTTAATAACAGAATGTATTACATCTTTAATGAAATATATAAGAACAACTTACTATAACACCGGAATGTTTTGCATTGTCTGTCTCGAATTTGTTATCATTCAAAATTTGTTTAGCTTGATCGGTGGCCTCAAAACTGTCACATATTGTCTACAAAAGAAAACGTTGAAACATTACTACATCACGTTTCATGTGAGTTTACTGATGTTTACAAATAACGGTCCAAGATGTAAATAATTAGTGGAAAAATATCTACACCAAATATCTTCACAATATATTGAAACCTGTGTTAGAATATCCAAAGCAAGAAATTTACATATGCATTGTATACACTTGGTCACTATAAATACATGGCAAAGATTATTCAAATGTAATGTTATTCTACAATATAATGAGAAAACAGCCTATTGGGTGAACAATTTAAGAATACCTCTATCCTACGCTTGCATTCGGATTCCTTGCCCGGTACCACTGCCATAGTTAATATGTAAAAATCTGCCGGGTTGTAGTTCTTTGGGCAATTAAATCCTACTCTGAAATAAATTTTTAAAAAATCAAAACGTGTAAAGTACCACACAAGAGAGAATCACATTTTTCGTTCAAGCATTACTTGTAACAATGATGGCATGATTTTAAAAATCTTTAAAAAACAATATATGGCAATTACTTACTCGGGTTTTTTTTCATAATTATTTATCAATAGCATTCATTGTTATAACATATGTCGATTTGCTTTTTGAGTTTTAAGTTCATTTTTATATTTTGTTCAAAAACTAAAATGTAGGTGTGAAATATTTAAAGGGACTCCGCTGAGAGTTTTTGTTGTTTGTTTTCTTTACATTAATATTCCATTAATTAATCCAAGTTATTCAATAACTTGTGTGCAACATTTCAGATCATTCGCTCAATTCGTTTATTTTTTTCAGAATAATCATTCAGATTGTGAAGAATGAACCAAAATTTAAAAAGCGTTGCAACGCTTTATACTCAAATTGGCTGAGAATAGCACAAAATACGATTTTCAATTTATTTCTGAGAAAATTTCTTAATTGATTTTTTGCATTTTATATTTTTTCGTTGTAAGTGCTCCCGCTTATGCAGGTAAGAAAATCAATTTTATTTTTTTAGGCTTTTGTACCTGGGTTGAGTTCAACTTAAAGTATCAGAAATGATAAAAGTTCATACATGTAGTAGAGAAATCAATATAGTATATATCTCATAAAAATAAATCAAGATAACGTATCTCTCATAAAAAATCAATATAATATACCTCTCATGAAATAAATCAACATAACATACCTCTCATAAAATAAATCAATATAACATACCTCTCATAAAATAAATCAATATAACATACCTCTCATAAAAAGAAATCAATATGATATACCTCTCATAAAAGTAAATCAATAAAATGTATACCTTTCATAAAAGCGAAGTGCTTCTTCCGCCTCGCCCATGAACGCTACACGACCTTCAGCCATCACCAGAACACTGAACATAAACCAAATTATTCAATATATTTGCTATTTATGATTGAGCTATCAGTTACAAGGTTTTCAAAAGAATAATGAAATAACTCAACTCGAAACATTTTTCTAGTACCCGTGATGAGACCAAGTTACCTCTAAATATAAACAACTACAGCTGGACTTGGTTAGTTGGTTGGTTGGTTTTTGCGCCGATATCAACATCTTTTTGTAATTACTCGGCGGTCGGCCCACTTAGTCGGCTTTCTTTGATAATTTACCAGTAATTAGCAATTTCTCTGTGACCGATTACTATTCGGATCAGCGGTGAGTGAAAATGAGTCACCGAAAGATTTTGCCTCGACCCAGGTTCGAACCAACGGCATCTGGAGTACAAAGCTGATGCTCTCGTTAAGTTACGGAAATACAACGAGATATTGGCCTTAAAACAGAAGTGAAAGTATCAGAAAAAACATTACTGAAGCTATCTCGTTATTGGAAAGAAAGAGAATGTTCGAAAAACACTACACAACTGGTTCAGCATTTCCTGAAAATGCATCAGTAATCATATAGAAATTCATATTACGATTATTAGTCACTGTAAAATGAAATTGTTACATTATAACTTTGGTCGTAAGAATAGTACACTTACTTGTGAAATAAAGAGAAGACATCCGAGGATGGCTGGTGTATGGTACACAGTACAGTTTTTCCTTTGTCAGCCATACCTTTCAATGTTTGTACAATATTGTCTGCCATAAAAGAATCTAATCCAGACGTAGCTTCATCACAGAATAATAATGGAGGATTTGTCAGGATCTAATGAATAACAATGGAGGATTTGTTAGGATCATTGAATATAAATGAAGGATTTGTTAGTATCATTGTTTGAAAATGGAGGTTTTGTTAAGATCATTGTATAACAATGGAGGATTCATCAGGAGCTATTGTATGACAATGAAGGATTTGGTAGGACCATTGTATAACAATGGAGGATTTGTCTTGACCTATTGTGTAACAATGGAGGACTTGAAGGAACCTATTGTGTAACAATGGAGGATTGAAGGGACCTATTGTGTAACAATGGAGGATTGAAGGGACCTATTGTATAACAATGGAGGACTTGAAGGGACCTATTGTATTACAATGGAGAATTTGTTAGGGCCATTGTATAACAATGAAGGATTTGTTAAGACCTATTGATAACAATGGACGATTTGTTAGGAGCATTGTATAACAATAGAGGATTCGTCAGGATCATTGTGTAACTATAGAAAACTTGTCACGATATATTGAATGGAGGATTTGTCAGGATCTATTGATTAACACGTATACTAAGTCAGTTACAAATTTGTAGCGGAATCACACTGTATCTTTAATTGCAAGACTATGTAAAATCAGCGTGTATGGTTTTTTGCGTGCACAATCACCTGTTATTTATGATCTCTGTGTGGTTTTTTGCAAACTTATTTTATTAAACTTGCATCATTTCTAGAAAGCTTATGAAGTAGAAGCGTTCATTCATCCGTTAATGATAATGCTCACACGATTAATTAAAACAGACAAATTAATGTCGACTAAAATCAAAATATTGATCGTGGCAGAAGACGGTTTAACACCAGGGCAATTTTAAATAGAAAATTTCCAAAACACTATATTTAAATAAGAAAAAGACATGTGGTTTATTTATAAGTATGATTGCAATAGATATGTTAAAGTATTATAATAATGTGGTATAAATGTGGATACCTCAGAAGCGAAAGACAATCTTCTCATCTCACCACCAGATATTCCCTTTATTCTGCCAGGATTTCCTATCATGTTATCCTCACATTTTTGCAGGCCTAACTCCTTTAAAACTTCGTCTACCCGCTCAAGTCTTCGTTTTGTGTTAACACTTTTATCCATTCTAAGTAAGGCCTGGTTAAAAACGAACGAATATATCACTTTAATTGTACATTTAATCTCAAAATGGCTTTCAATAGGCTATCCAAACAAATAAGACATTCATTATTTGAATCCGCGCGTCATAGATTATCTTTCAATAACTCCAATAATTGAAAATAAGAAGGTTATAAAGTGGTATGCTCTTTTGATTTATACTTTTTAAAGTTTATATGATTTGTCCATTTTAACCCGAATGTGGTCTGGTGTAGTATTCTAATTTTAGTAAAGTACGTCTGCTTGTATTATGAAATATTGAGCGTAGTGTAATGTTGTTAATTCTAAACTTTAACATTATGTTTAATCATTAAAAACCTACGCAATCAAGCGCAATAACCATATCTCATATTTGAAGTTGTTTGCTTAATTGATTGAATACTAGCATTTTCAAGACACAAAAGAACAAATTTGCATTTTGTCCCATTCTAATTATATGACCTTTTTAGTTTGTCATAACCATAATTCGTAATATCAGTAACATACCCTGAATGTGAGATGTTCTTTAACAGTCATTGTTGCTATAAATAGATCATCTTGTTGTACGTAAGCTGATATATTGCGGATACCGGTGCCTACTGTAGTACCATTTACTCGTATGTCACCGGAGTAACTTAACGTGGAACTATCAATTCTTGACGTTAATGTATTTAACAAAGTTGTCTTTCCCGATCCACTACAAAAAAATAAAAGTATTTTTAAACATGTTTCATATTCATGTCTCCAAAATTGTCATCTTATTCAAATTCACTTAAACTAGTGAAAACTATGTACAGCATACAGTGTTTCTATAATTATGGAAGCTCAATAATTTAAAATACATATTTATAATGTCGCTCAAATATGACACTTTCTAGCTTCCGTATAAATTTAAATGCATTAATATTATTGTAGTGTGCCATAATGTTTTATTATAACGATATATAATGTTACTGACTTTTTTATAGATAAAGTTTTTTTTCTACAACCTAATTATTTACCTTGCGCCTATGATAGCCAGAAGTGTTCCTGGTTTAACGTGGCCATATACTGAAATATATTGACAATTTTTTTCTATGACAGTTTGGATATGTACAACTTCGATATTTTAAATATATATCGTCAAATGTATTAGTTGTTTATAAACCACATGACTTGTTTTGAGATCCAAGCATAAACATTCTCTACCGATGGATTACACTCTGTATTTGATACGACTTTTGATCAGAGAAATGAAAACGAGGCTAAATTGATAAGATCGGGTCCAATTATGATTTTCATTATTTATTTATTTATCTGTTATTTTTCTCTCAAGTTATTATATCAAGTGGTGCATTTGCTGGAAGTTCATTTCGTGTGAAATAATTCAATAAATAAATGTTTATCTTGTATGCATCATAAAATGTAAAACAAACATATTTGTAAAAAAAAAATGATAAAGAAGAGGACATTTGAGATATAAATAATATCTTTACCATTCCTTAGTATCTGTTTGCTTCCTTTTCTTGTGTAAAGGTTGATATTTTCCCAGGATAGTGTAACAGTTTCCAGGCTGTCCACCATACTATGTCTCGCTTCATATCTGTAAATAAATTTATTTCATTATACTAGTTTAATGGTCAAGGTCAAAGGTCACAGAAAGGGATTGAACATTTTTGTCGTAAGTACAGCCGAAGAGTTTGCTCGGTAAGTTCTTCATTCATACAGTCAAGGTCGAACATTGAAAGTCAATCACATCCGGCTAATTATTTTGTCATTACTCGATGGATTGTCAAAATATTTGGCACTAGCCTTACCACAGTCAAGTACGGAATTCCAAGTCAAGCATTGTGTTGCGTTCAATACCAATACCCTCGTCATCAACGTAAAGGTCGTTTGTTTTTAGGTCAAAAGGCTCATCCTGTCTGACTTTCATGGATTGTCGAAACATTTGGCAAATACCTTCAGAACAGCCAGACGTTGTGTCATGCGCAAGACCAACGTCCACACCTTCAAGGTAAAGGTAACATTGAAGGTCAAATCGTGTCTGTCCGCTTTCCACTTCTTATCCCTTAATGGATCAAACATTAAATAAATGTCTTCTTTAGGGTCAGGAGGTATTTCATGCGCAAATTCAAGGTAAACGTTATACTTAAAGGTACCATGCAAGTAACATGTTAGGGCATCCCTGTCACATGTAAACATTTCTAGTTTCATTGAATTTCGTTAGATGAAATTATCTGGCATTGTTTAGTTAGTATCCATGTAATAATTAACTTCAAAAGCAAACAAAAACAATTTATAGAATGTAATCAGATAAAGTAGTTTATATTTGCTAGACGTTATTCTTTGTTTTATTCTAGGGGCGGTCATATATATGAGTCAATACCACTGACTGTTTTTTTTATTTAAGTACTTGTTGGTATTTTTCTTCCTTTGGATTAATTACCTACATCACCAGAGAAGAGCAAATATAAAGAATAACTGCAATAAGTATAATACCTATTGAAGTCATATGATGAGAACTTGGGGGTCAACTTTTTTTGCAAACAATAAAAATATATACAGAACACTCACTGCCTAAATTAGTCTGACAAAACTATGAGGGATCGTATCATATAAAATATCGGTGAAAATAATTAAAACATGATATCTGGTAACTTAAACGTTATTAGTAACTTAGATAATATCAAATTTCTAAAAAAAAAAAGAAAAATCTTAAGGCAATTTGTTGATGAAATGTCACACGAACTTGAGGTTTCGTCAATAATTACAGTGCAGTCCGGTTTTCCATACAATACTCCAATTCCCATGTATATATTTTTTTTTATAAAATATATAAATATTGTATAGATAATTTGACTTTAGTGTACATATTGATAACATTTCAAGTTTCTGTGGTATTTCAAAAGTTCACGTGGAAATATTAAACTTATGTACACTTGATCGTTTTTTATGACGATTTCGTAAGCAAAGATAAAACTTAGGTAAGGGGTAACCAGATTTTTTTTATTTATTCATTTATTTATCTTTTTATGAATAAGTATGAAATGACAACATTTTAAATGGTAACGTATGATAATTCAACTGATGGTGTCTTATTGGGGTTATCTTCGTTATCATTCTACCTATAGTGATACAGCTACAAACAATTTACAATAAAAGATAACAAATGGGACAGTTTTAAATAATACGATATATCATTGTAATATAAACCAAATATTTAAATTAGTCCTAGTTTTTATACTGTATATAAAAGAAATTTGGTGTTCAACTTTAACCAATATAGGTATGGTGCCTAATTTTTGCCATGTCGAAATCACGAAAAATGAAAGGACGACAAAGTGGTCATATTGTTGAATTTCGCCTCGTCCACAACGGGCGAAAGTACGACAAAATGGTCAGATTGTAATATTTTTGTGTGTTTCGTCTGGAGCCCCGCGGATCGTAAATTAATGTCATGGCATAAATCAGCCACCATATATAGGCCAGTGTCCTAGTTTTGATGACCGGATTTTTTGCGTACAATGTCCATCAAGTTTCTTACATTTCATTTCCTAAAGTCATCCCCATTGTTTTATAAAGTTGTGATGACTAATACAGTTGGGGGAACTAACAGAAAATTATCGTGCTTTTGTCTGGTAATCAGATTGATCATTTACTTATCAAGTTTAAAGTATATAGAATAAGATAAAGGGGAATAAAATAAGATACAGTCTTGTATAATTCTTTTATTACCTATATTGGTTTCTTGCTGACTCATCAGGCCCTCTATAATTAGAGTCCGTGTAGACAACTGTATGTTCCCTTCCTGATACAGAGTATCTGACAGAGCTGTCGGTCCCTCCACTTGCCAGCAAAGGTCTTTTTTCCTCACTCATTTTTCTTTACGCCTACATAAAAAGTTTCAGATTTGTACATGACGTTTTTAATCCACTAGTTTTCTATTTGAAATAGATCAGATCAGTTCCTATTACGATATAGCAGTTTTAAAGCCTACTTTTTCAAGAAAACGTTCCAAACTCGAGAAAAAAATGTTCTAAGATTTTAAGGAAAAGTGAAAAGATTCAAGATTCTAGCAAAATTTTACATGTAGTGTGCAATCAATGACTGATTTTGCAGTATTTATCACCATTCTGCGTAACTAACGCAGAAAAGGCTATTTTTACATATCTTAACCCCTTAGTAATTTACGTGAATTGTAATGTGTAAATTGATTTCTTTGTTCAATTCACAATGACTTAATTCTCAAAACATTTTCAAAATGTTCATGAAAATTAACATGAATCTGGAGACATGCTCCTTTAAGTGTGGTATTGCAGTTTCTGTACCAAATACATGTAGATCACTATAATTATGCTTATAAAATCGACTCGAAAGGAAAATATAGCTTTAACAATCCCTACATGTATGTGAAATGTGCAGACGATCGAGTTGTTTTAAAGCATTATAAAGTATTTTAAGCGGTTACGAGTGTTAAAATATTTTTATATGTCTACATGCAAATGTTTATGATCCGTTTAACATGAATTTATAAAGATTCAAATTGAATCTTTCTCTACTTGAATAATATTTTAATAAGCTTATAAGTCAATTTATTCGTTTAAAACTAAATAAAGAGTGAATTATAAACTTACCTGTGGTTTTGAATTTTGATTAAAAAACATAGTTCCGTTAAAAGTTAAATTAACAAGTGTGTTGCATTTATATCAGTCATGAATAGATATACTCTACATTTGCTTGTAATAAGATATACATTGTATACACTGCTAAGTAAATATTTAGTCTTAATACGGAAGCGAATTAGCGCCTTCACATATGAAGTCACGTTTATTATTGTGATATTTCTCAAAAACTTGGACAAACACTAGAGTCTTGTTCATCTTGGCTTGTAGATAACAAATTGTCACTTCATCTAGGAAAGACTGAATGTCTTATTTTTGGTTCCAAACGTAAACTAAAACAAGTTAAAGAGTTCAAAATTGTTTGTAATGGACATACTATTGAATCCACAAAATCTGTTAAATATCTAGGTTTAAATATTGATGATTCTTTGTCAGGTGAATCTATTGTTAATTGTATTCTTACAAAGGTGAATTCACGTCTTAAGTTTTTGTATAGGCAAGCAAATGTTTTAGATTTTAGGACTAGAAAATATTTATGCTCAGCACTAATACAATGTCACCTTGATTATGCATGTTCTTCTTGGTACCCGAGCCTGAACAAGTGTTTTAAAAATAAGCTTCAAATTTGTCAAAATAAAATTGTTAGATTTATACACGGTATGGGACCTAGAGATAGTGTCAATAATGTTATTCTTGCTAATATGTCTTTACTAAATGTAGAAAACAGAAATAAGCAATTACGTCTTAATCATGTTTTTAAAATTGTTAATAACCAGTGCCCTTCATATATGATAGAAAATTTTATACCTGTTCGAGACATTCATTCTTATTCAACTCGGTCGAATCAGTACAATTTTAGGGTCCCAAGAAGTTATGGGGAGATAATGTAACTTTTTTCAAAAAGCAATTAATGATTGGAATTCCTTGCCAACATACATCAAAAAAATTAATAAGATAGGAAATTTCAAAAGCTCTGTGAAGGCCCATTTACTAGAACAGTTAGGTTAGTAAATCATAATTAAATCCACTAGTATGACTAGATATTGATCTCATTTTTATTGTTTTCTTTTTAGCAAAGTTAATGGAAATACTAAAGTTTGATATTTTACGTAAATGACATCTTCCAGTTTCCAAAGTTTTGTATTTTTCAATGTTTTTGTGTTTTATATTGTATATTATAGTAAGTATATATCCAAGGACCCCATTGGAAATAAGCCTTCGGGCTTTCATGGGCAATCCGAGGTTATTACACACTGCTCTATACATGTTTCCACTTACGTCCTTACATTTTATTAAACTAGTAAATTGATATCTAGTCATAGTAAAGAAAGAGTTTTAGATTTTGTTTTTAGTTATAATATTTTATTATTTAATGAGCCGTCTGTGATATTTATGTCTGACAAACTTCCGAAATATTTTATTACAATTGTGTCATCAGTTTTATATAAAATGCTAAAGTGTTTGTTTTATGTATACATGTATGTGTGTTTTAACCTGAATAAATATCTATCTATCTATCTATCTATCTATAAATTACTTAAGAAGGCTAAAAGAAAAGTATCAATGAGCCACGCACTTGTATTTAAATGGCACAAAAGGTTCACAAGTGGAGAGACTGACTTGGTGAGGTGATGACGCCATCTTTGGAGTCGATTCAATGTGCGTTGGAGGACGACTGAAGATTGACTATTCGAGAAGTATCAAATATTACTAGCATTGATTACGAATCGGCACAGCGCATAATTACTTAGGTATTAACATAAGAAAGGCACATGTTGTATAACATACACGTATGTTTTTAAAGTAATATAGTTCTGAAACTGGCAATTTAATAAAATAAGATCATTTCAGTGACTTCCTTAACTAATGTAATCCGGATAACAATAGAGTACAATAACGTAAATTAATACTTGACTTAAAATCGTTTAACTTTGTGAATCTACTTTTTTCATTTTAAACATGTTACTGTGTTAACGTACTCTTGTAGTTCTACAACTGGTAACACGTTTTCTTAAACTCTATTTTCTGTATTTAAGATTTACATTTCATTTGTATATTTCAGATCTATAAGTGTGCAAACATGCATATATATTGCATGAAATGGAAGATACGAACTTGTAAATTTGTTGTCGTTTTAGATGTTGTTACGATCTATATGTAAACTTGTTATATAAAGGCGGGAAACTTCTATTAAAATATTGGATCAAGAGGCATATCATGTGCTATGCACGGGTACAATAAAAAATGGTAGGCATACAAGTTTGCATTTTCAAAAGTCATTTTAAAAAGAAACACTTTACATGTCTGGAATTTTGGCAACGAACGCCCTCTATACAATACAAATACAATGGATTCATCAATATATTCACCCTCCTAAATAAAGCTTGGTTCACAGATACAGATGCGATCACGCGAATTAATCAAGGCAATGGAAACTGATACTTTTGTTAAAGGTCCTGAATGAGGTATACATAGTGTGGTCTTTTTATGCCACAACAGTAGGCAAAGTCAACACTTCATTTTTTTAAGTAAAAAAAAAATACTGGAAATTCAACAATAATATCATTTTCATGTTTACATTTGTTATACATTTTGCATATTTTTGTTGATATCTATGTTATAAGATAACAGTTTATGTTTAATCAAGTTTTCAAAAATATTTCTTAAGTCAGCGGCCTGTTGTCGACGATACTTATCACCTTAAGGAAGTTTAAAAGAACATTTCGAGACAGATTTTGTAAACCCAAAATGTTCAGTAATTTGACAACAATTTAAAAAAAGTTTTTTATCTATTTAAACTATTTTTTATCGTCGCAGTTTGTCTTGCTCCTCTATTACTAGGTGACAATGCACATGTGCTTGTTTATTGATGAATAAAGTTAAAACAATTTTATTTATCAAGTGTCGGTGTTATCTATAGGCCTATGCGTCCGAGTTCTCTTTCCAACAATAATGTTGTTGCTTGTATTTTTATGTTTTCTTCTTTTGTTTGTTTGTTTCTCGTTTGTTTGTTTCTTATTTCCTTTGTTTATTTTTCATTTAGTAACTGTAGGAAAAAAAATATATTGAAAAAATTACCAAATTTTGCTCGTTTTAGTGCCTTACAGCCTTATGACAAGTTGAAAAATTTAGTGGTATCATATCCTCAAAAGCGTCTAGCTATCCCGAGTAAAACCCAAAATGGCTGGCATTGAGGCATGTTACATCAGTTCGGGATGTAATAGAACACCTCACTCGGCTGATTGGGGGAGAAACAATGTCATTTGTTACGGATCATCCAATGCTATCGTTCTGTATCAACCTGAGGTGTAAAATTATTTTTTATTAAGTATATTGAAGAGAAAAAGTCAAAATTTAATTTTTTTTCTCTTTATTCGTACTCATAAAATTTCGACTCATTATGAGTTCTGAATTCAAAATCTTTATACATGTATGTAGCTTTATAATATTTTGTTCCTTCATTTACAGTTGTGGAGCATTTAAGTTTCGGATCAAATCCGTTGCAACATTAGCCAAAATAATACACATTCATTTGAACTGGCGTTTAACTTTAATTTTCCTATGATTTTATTTCTGAACATTATTCAATAAAAAGATTTTTCAAAATACTTTCAAACTTCACACAAAATTTCAGTTGGTCATAATGTCAGGACTTGAAAGACAACAAATGCTTATTCTGTCTTAAATTTGGTCAATTAACTTCCTATGCTTGTGTACTGAAGAATGCATTTTTTCCGGAAAAGAGTCAACTCGGCCCTATACCAACTCGGCACGGGTCAACTCGGCACGGGTCACTCAACTCGGCCCACTTTACAAAAATATATATAACGTATTAAATTTGTTTGCATGTTGTTAAGTTAAGGGTTAATGAATATTAAGAAATATCTTATTATTATATAATTATACATTGTACTTCTGCCGAAATAAAGTATATTTAGAAAAAAATTGTTATTTATTTGTCTTATATTTATAAACTCTCTCTGTCGAACTACGTAAATAACCAAGGTATATTGAGTGAAAAGCAAGAGTTGTTTCCCTTCGCTTGCAAAAGAATGCAAATTTAGCCGTGTTTAAATGGCTAGTTTGGGGCGATTAAATGTCCTATTTTAAAATTTGTTACACCAATTAAAAGCTGGTGATCTTAGCTTCCTCTCAGTATATATATCAACACATTGTTTAACACTGAAGGTATTTAAATTTATGGTTAAACCTACAACGACTTAGAAATACAGTGAGATACGCAATCGGTTATCTTTACTTGCAATTTTACTGATAAAAAAAGCCTGTCTGCTGCTAGTTCTGAAACTGTCAATCTGTGTTTTATAAATAATAACAATAAATAGTGATGACACAAACCTAAATATTAATAATCAGTGTTCTGCCAAGGATTCAAAAAAATAGGGACAAATGTCTCATTAAATAAAAAATATTGGGGACATTTTGAATATCAATAAGACATCAAAATTTTAAAGAAAAGATTACCTGACTTTATTTTGATGTTTGATAAGCATAGAGTTTATTTAAATTCAACTGTTCAAACTGTAACTTGTGAATAACTGGAATTTTTATATGTTGAAATTAGAATTTTTGGATGTGAAAGCATTAGTCTTATTATGTTTAATGCACAATTTACGGGTCATATAATTATCCTTAGAGTAACTAAGCCATGTAAAATCATTTAACCATTTGTTTTGGAATGGACGTACAATAGATTTTCGTTTGATGTCAATGTTTTCTGAAGGCTTCAGGGTTGAAGATGATGTGGACTGGTACAATACATTATTGTTTTTGTCAGACTTTCATTGTCATTGGGAATTGGGCTTTTTTTTGGAAAAAAAAATTGAGTATTATTTTTGGTTTTTTCTCTGGCGTCTGCATTATTAACAACAGTAAAAGTAAAATATGTTTTCATTGGCCGTTCTATAATTATAAACCAATCAGAATCGATGTAAGATAACTTACGCGCACTTTGCTTTGGTTACCGTGTAATAATTTTAATGCCATGAGAATTGCCACCACTTTTGTTGGATTCGTACTCAGAAATTTCGTACGCGACAATATTCGCACCACTGCATTTTAATGTGCGACATTTGCAATTTTTTAGCGAGAATGTCGCGGATTCGCGGCCTTGGCAGAACACTGAATAATTAAAAAGTGGGCCTAGTTGACTTGTGCCGAGTTGGAATAGGGCGAAGCTGACTCGGGGGCCTAGTACGTTTTAGGGCCGAGCTGACCCGGATTCATTTGATTCCCACTTTGATGACATTTATTTCATCCAGGGAACTTTCCTTTTCGCACTTAAATCATATCAATCATCGGAAATTATCGGACAACTTTGTTTTTAGTCTTGCTTTAATTTTCATCTGTCGCATTTAATGAGTACTGTATTTTGTACATTGTTGCCACTTAGTAGTAAGTAACCACCACATTGACAACATGAACAGTACCTGGCTGAAAATTAGTTGTTTTCTTGCTTAGCATCTAGTTTATTTTCAGACTGCATTTATTTTATGTAAAAAATCAATCATCTGCAGTGATTATTTTTTTTCAATTTTCAAATCAACCTGTGGCTTTCTGAAGGGGAAAATATAGCGTGATAAATCAGAAAACCTTGGGGAAAATCAAATTCTAACAACTGAGAATGCTTTACCCACACATGTTTTAGATTATTCAATTTCAATTCAACTTAACATCCGTGATACATACAGGGGCCATCTGTAGGGACAGCATTCTGTCTAAAGCTGATATAAGTCAGCTGCTGTTAAATCATGGCTCTAGTGAAAAATGTGCAAAGGGCATTTTAGGGGGAAAATAGTAGCATTTTTAGGGGAAAATATACCTATTTAGGGTAGAGGTGTAACGATTCATCGATGCATCGATGCATCGCGATCTGTCATGTCCCCGATGTATGCATCGTAATGAAATGACAAATTCCAATATATTGCGATGCAATACATATTTCACCTCCCGATGTACCGATACAGCGGGAAGGTATCGCAATACACTAACAATATATTCCAGGAATATAAGGACAAACGTATTTTTTGAAAGACTGAAGAAAGAAAAATAGCTCGGATGTAAACAATAAACAAGCGCGACTATTATCATCGTTGTCATCTCGTTTCCCCATGTCCGCAATCATTTAACGGTTACTAACCAAGTTTTATCAATTCCATGTAAATGGACTGGTGTTCTTTGAACTTGTTTATAATAAAAACATAATTAGAGATCTGTGTGATTTCAAGAAAAAACAACCTACAAACACGAATTTTATTTTGTAGTACTTAAATGTCGGATTAAAATAGTGATGATGACAACATCCCAATGTGATATTCGTCACGTATTTACACTTTCATTTCCGTTGACATCATTTTCCCGTAAAAAAAAACAACAAAGCAAACAAACAGAAAACATGAAGACTGCAAAATATGTAGACGGGGAAATTGCAGTCAATCCTCCCTGGTCACATAAGTCACGAGTTTTGGGAAAATTGTAGTTTTTGGGGAACAATGAGACAGTGTTGATAATGTGGAAGACCGGACGTGGAGTGTTTGCAAAATCAAAATAAAATACTCTGGGGTTGAGCACAAATCTTTTGAGAAAACTGAGACGAAAACTTATAAACTGTCATTTTCACAGTTGTTGACCTAATTGTAGATCACTTGTTACTATTTTTTTCACAAGAAAAATCTTTAGTGGTTTATTGTAAGACTGAAATTGTTAAACTGCCATATTTACAGTATTAGACTTTATAGTGTTAGAATAGCTAGTAGATATCAATTTGCTGTTATGGTTTAATTAAAAATACCTTAATCCTCAAGTAATCAGAAAAGTAAATTGTTAAAAGATCAAAATCAGAAACCAAGTTATAACAACAAGTTAAAAGAGTTTATTTTTTTGTTATTGTAATAGTTTTATATTATATTCCTAATTATGCTGTAAACAAATGGCCAATTTTTTATATACTAAGTCTAAAAGTCAGTATCGTGATACGTATCGCATCGCAACATAAGAATCGCAATATGCATCGCATTTCTTCAAAGTATGCAATACATATCGTGAATCGCATCGTTTTGAAAAACAAATATCGTGATATGTATCGTGAAAGAAAAAAATGGCAATGCACAGCCCTAATTTAGGGCTAGGGAAACAGCTTTTATTTGGCTGTAAAATGCAGGGAAAAAAATCACTGCAATGTACAGAGATTTTTTTACAAACTCATCAGTGTGGGTCCTAGGACTCGCTGGACTATAAATCTATGTGTCCCAAAATTTATCCGACAAATCCAAGTTACAAGGTTAGGCTTAATATTGATTTAGTGATATGAAAGGTATATTAACAATGGAATGAAGAAAAAATGAATTCGAATTCTACATTAATTACAATGCTTCTGATACTGAAATTATTCATAACTGTCAAATAAATTTAATAAATTTATTTCCATTGATTTAGTTTGAGATTAATCAAAACTATGCTTATCTTTAGTAAAGCACATAATTATTTCTTATCTGTAGATGATTTGCAGACCTAGAATATGATTGACATAAATTGAACACAATTTGGTATTTATTACCAAATTCCTGTCGGACAGGACTTTCTACTCAGAAAAAGTATGCATCCAAAAGATGCACATTATTTGAAACTTTGCATCCACAGCAAATTTAATGAGTTCTGGACTCAGGATGCAGAGGTAAAAAAATCACTGCATAATGTATCTTGAAAATACATATTTTATTATTTCTTCAGGTAAAACAGGAGGGAAAAGAAAGTCAAGTTTTACAGACACTGACAGGACATAAAGGGAAAGTTAACTGTATTAAATGGATACCAGCAATTGATTATGGTAATTAATAAAGCTATTGTTCAGTCTTGAACAAGAAATTTATTTAAATATTAAAAGTTGCCTTTAATCTTAATGACCCTTTTCTTGAAAATACAATATTATATAGATTTTAATGTGTAGAAATTTGAGTTTCCATTTCCATGTTCCTTACTTCAACATTGGTTCAGACTATTGTGACAAGTACAGATTTATTCTAGGTGATGAGACAGAACTAGTGTCAGGATCTGTTGATAAAACTGTGATAGTGTGGCAGAAACATAATCATACTGTAAGATGTTTGTTTTGGTTTCGTACTTAATAACTTCTTAATGCAGATTTATCATTTCTTGTTGGAAACATGTTTTATATATTATCTACTTGAAAGCAATTTGTGTTGTACACTAAATAAAAATCTTGAATATGTACATTCATTGATACAGCATCAATTGCCTAAATTTTAATGAATGCTGAACTAGTCTGTTTAAAATTTTTTAACAGGATAGATATTAAATGGCAAGGTATATTCAACTGATAATTATTAGAGAGGTAAATCATCATTGTTTCACAGATATTTTTGTGTCGCCTCTACGGAGTAGTGGGGACATATAGGGATCACTTCTCCGTCGTCTGTCTGTCCGTCACAAAACTTGTCCGGACTACTACTCATAAACTACTGGATCAATTGCATCCAAACTTTACAGGAATGATCAGTACCAAGTCTAGTTGTGCATATTGTCAGCATTTTCGGGTTCAATGATTTTTGTCAGAGTTATGGCCCTTTAATAATTTTAATTTTTAAAGTTTGTTCGGACTACTTCTCTTATACCACTTATGCAATTTCAATGAAACTTTACAGGATTGATCTGTAGCTCAAGTCCTTGCGCATATTGCACGGGTTTTCCGGTTGAATGATTTTTGGCCGAGTTATGGCCCTTTGATAAAAAAGGTGTTTTTTTCTGTGTGTTGCCAGATACACAAAAGCTTGTCTGGACTACTCCTCATAAACTACTGGATCAATTTCATCCAAACTTTACAGGAATGATCAGTACCAAGTCTAGTTGTGCATATTGTCAGCATTTTCCGGTTCAATGATTTTTGTCAGAGTTATTGCCCTTTAATAATTTTTAATTTTAAAGTTTGTCCGGACTACTTCTCTTATACCACTAATGCAATTTCAATGAAACTTTACAGGATTGATCTGTAGCTCAAGTCCTTGCGCATATTGCACGGGTTTTCCGGTTGAATGATTTTTGGCCGAGTTATGGCCATTTGATAAATAGAGGATATTGAATGAGTGTAGTTAAATACTAAATTTATTGAACGAGTTGAATAAAATCATATTATGCGAGCCTCTGGCGAGCATAATATTGTTTTATTCAACGAGTTCAATAAATTTCGTATTGAATCTACATGAATAAAATATTCTATTTGTCACATAATATAAAATAAGAACAATAAACTGTAAAAATAAGAAATTTTTCAACGACGCGCCTTTAGTGTAACGCTAACATTAGCGGGCTTTAACGCTATGTTTCTATATAGCGCAAATGCAGGCTGTCCAGTGTCCCTAAAATTCCTAAAAAATCCTAATTTTTTTCAGTTTGGCTAAAATTCCTAAAAAAATAAAAAATTCAAAGGGAATTCCTAAAAATGCCCTATTTTTTCACTGAAATTCCTATTTTTTTATCTTTTGTTATAACATATCCCGGAACAACCATTTTTCATTCACAACCTAAATTTTAACACAGTCAATGGTGCTGATGTCATATCTGACTAAATTGCATAAAGTCATTTGTTGTATTTACTTCAACTCCTGCAGAAATGTCATACTTGATTTATTGCCAGATGTTATCAGAAAAATAATAAGAAACTGTTTATTTTAAATGGAACAATGAAAATTATCCGACTTAGACTATATCAAAATGGTCACTTGTTTAAAAAAGAGATAAAAAATTTCCAAGCAAGTTATATTTTTTATTTGCTACAGAGTTTTACCATTTACCTCAGCCTTAGGTGTATTTAAAGCAACTATTTATGATGTACCACAAAATTTCATCAGACTATGTAGGGGACCTTTTTAATAAAATCTTAATTTGTAATCAAGTTATTTTGAAGTGATGACTGTAGAATAGATCTTTTGTAAGTGATACCAGCTGGCAGATCTAGACATGTTTTCATATTTGGTAATACTATAAAGTGGGTAAGGTAAACTGGCTTTAATGATGGATGCTTTTACCATTTTGCGCCCCAATTAGCGTACTAAGAAGTGACACCTTCAGCTGCCCTTTTTGTACACATTAACATTTAATTTAGTCATACCAATGCAATATACTGTAAATATGTTATAACATTAAGTGTATGTTGTTTTTTTTTTAATCTGGAAAAAAAACACTGTAAAAATCATTGCATAGATTGACTCTGTTGTGAAATTTCCTACAATTTTTAGTAGCCCTGATTTATTTTTAACAAATTCTTTAGTGGTGAATACCCTGCTGTTTGAATTTAGATTAGAATATTCCTGGGAATGACCTGAGTAGGTCATATTGTTTTTATTGTTTTTTAAGAAAGATCAATACTTGTTCAAACTGTACCAATCTTAAAATGAATAATTGTTGATAAATTTTTTTATGCATTTATAGCTAGAATAAATTTAAAGCATAATTTCTCCTTCCATTTACATGTACTATTGGCAAATAACAGCTTAACTAATTGAATATTGGTTGTTCTGGGATACTCATAACTTAAAAAATGTTTTCATTCTAGTTATGTTTTAATGTAGTTAAGTTTTTCAGCTCTTATTCATAGTAGGCAGTTAAAGGCAGTTGACCAGTGAATCTATTTATTCACGGTTGACCTATGGAACACTGGTAGACACTTTTGTTATAACTGAACTAGAGCATTATTTGTGAGTTTCTTACTTTTGTATCAAATATGCTAAGTTGAGCCCAAATCATGGTCTTTTGGGGCCATAATTTAGTTATAAAATTCCAAATTTTAGCCCTAAAATTTCTTTTACTTACCCTAAAATTCCTAATTTTAGCCCTAAAATTTCTTAAAAATTGCCCTAAAATTTGCCTTAATTTTTTGTCAGAGGGTGCTGGACAGCCTGCAAATGACGTCACGTCAAAGTGTTATTACACTAGTGTAATATCGTTTTTATTAAATGGCTTTATTACACTCCTGCGCCGCGGTTTATGTGATAAAAAGGTGTTTTTTTCTGTGTGTTGCCAGATACACAAAAGCTTGTCCCCACTACTCCTCATAAACTACTGGTGCAATTTCATCCAAACTTTACAGGAATGATGTGATCACTGATTGCTCTTGTTTAATCTTTAAACTGTGGACATACTGAAGTAAGAATCAAACAACTGCAAAATTGTACAGGTAAAATTCATTGCATTATCTTTCAGCCGAAGAATGAATTTTGTTTATTTTCAGTACAAAGCAGTTCAGGTTTTAATTGGGCATTCAGCACCAGTTACAGCCCTTGAAGCAGTGTATGTATGTGCGGAAAGTGACAAGTCTGGACAAGGGAGGCAACTCTCTAAAACTATTTTAATTACAGCTTCCGTTGACTCTACTGTTAAAGTATGGACAAGGCTGCCTGATCAAGGTTTGATTACTTCTTTCATAAAATTGCAACAACATGTAGATTATTTAAAGAAAATAATTTGCCATTTATGGTAAAATAATTGCCTCGATATTAGATATGCAGTTAAAAGTCTTTATTAATGATTGGTTTATATTATAAGCTACCATAACTGCATAACTACATTTACACATGTGAAACAGGCAATTTTAGAATTTTTTTTATTTTGATTTTTTTTGTAAATTTGAAATAAATGTCAGACAAAAATTGATGTATCCTTCAAATGGCTATATGTTTTGTTGAGTGCTATTTTGCAGAAGAAGTGGGTATAGAAAAATATCAACTAAAAGTTAATGTATATTGTTTATGTAATAGTATAAACATAGAAAACCACTAAATTCAGGTAGAAGGAGAATATTTATGGATATCACTATTGTTTGTTTATTGGATATGGATATTTTGTCAACACACTTTTCTTGTTTATTTGTAGATTTCATGGAAACACAATTTATAAGTTATGGTTCTGGTTTTGCATTGGATCTATCACTGATTGTGATACCTAACACAACTTGTAAGTTACATAATTCTCTAAATTTGATTTATTTAATGAAGAATGATATATATAATGGTTATTTTATGGTATATAGAATTTGACATGGGTTGCCATGTAATATTATTGTTGAGTACAATACTGATTTCTATGAATCAGTACACATCAGCTGTCAAACCTGTATTGGTCGAGTCAAGTGTATTTTTAGCAGCTGTGCACATGTTAGTATTGTGTTAAAAATGTAAAATGAACTTTTCTTTCACACCAACCTCTGATACCTCATCAGTGTTTTGACATGAATTTTTCAAATTCAAAATGTCATTTCCATGTGATGTAGAAATAAAATACCAGACAGTTAGTAAAAGAGAATTTCTGCCTTTTGATTGATTTTTAGTTTGACTATGAAGAATAGGGAGTAATAATATCTTTAACTCACCCAGGGGTGGGTACATGTATATGAGTCACACTTTTGTTAAGTTTTCTCTTGCAAGTTGGTATCTTCAAAACTACTGAAGGGAATGGGTTGTAGTTTCACACAGTTATTTCCAAGGCCCATAACTCTTACATGGATTTTGACAGAATTATGGCCCTTTTTAAGTTGATAAAATGTATACTATCCAGACTCTTGTTTTACTACGAAGCAGCAAGAAAAGTAGAGCATGATTTCCTAGCAACAGCTGTTGTTTTATCATGTACCTTAATTTGCTTGAAACAAAATGTCAACAAAATCAGCAGCATTGTTTACAATGGAAATATACGTATATTATTCTATATAATATTGATATAATGAATGTGTTGTAGGTTTGATGCTAGCGTGTGCATGTGATGATATGAAGGTACATGTATATACAGAACAAGGCAACGCAGACCAGTCTCGGGTAATCCATTTATTTATGAATTATTTTAGATTCTATGTGCGTTGTACTGACAAGAAGTTATAAATTACGTAGAGGATATCAGTTTGTTTTGCATGTAAGATCACAAGTATCTCACAGGCTGATCACAGATGCAATTCATTGAAATGTCACATTGTTTTTTGAGACAAGTTAGTACATGTAGAAGCCAGGAAAATAACTTCTGGCACACAGTTGTTTAGGTTTTGAATTATCTCCTTTTGTAATGCTTAATGATGTCGGGAAAATAACTTGAAAAGAATAAATTTGATTCAAACTTCACACAGTGATAGTGGCCAGTAAGAAGTAGTGTAGTGTTCATGAATCATAATTCTACCTTGCTTAATTTTTTTTATCATGATCCACACTATTTATTATTCAGTAAGTACTAAATTTGAAATTTTACCTGAAAAAATGATGGATGGTTTTGTCCAGATTGAAAAATGGAAAAGTCCATTTAAGATATTAAGTAGAGTAAGAGTTAAGTAAATGTCAGCATTTTTTGTCAACATTTAATGTTTTGCCAGTACATTGAATAAATTTTTACTGCAGATATGTCTATGTTTTTCAGTTTGTATCATCTATGACGTTATCTGGGCATGAGGACTGGGTCAGGGCTGTAGATTTTACTGTAGATGGTATGATGTACCTGTGTTATATTCTTATTATTCTTATATAAAATAACATTCAAAAGTATATAATTTATTTAAATGTCATGATTATCCGATGAAAAGAGATGTTGCAAACATGCAGTATTATAATGTATATAAATACAATGTGATGTTTGCTAGAATTTTTTTGAGATAATATATGCTTTAATCATGCTTGACTACAAGATAAACATATATATATTTTCTAGACAGTGGAGATGTATTGTTAGCAAGTGCGGCCCAGGATTATTTGATTCGAGTATGGAGATTTGCTCACAGAGATACAGATACTGGCAGTAAAATAAACTCTATTCTAGATTTACCTATAGATAAAGATATTCAGATGAGAGAAAATACATTCTCATTGAAATATAAAGGTGAGAAATCTATACCATATTGTCTTGTATTTTAATTGAGACAAATTTATGTCGGCTATTGAATGTATATAAATTAGAATATGATTGTTAGAGTAATAAAAGAAAATTATTGTTATATGGGTAATATGGCAATAAGAATTAATAAAAAGCATCAGAAAAAAGTCCAGCTCATTGTGGGATTTGAACTGACATCTTACAGCTTACAAACAAATACTTTAGACCACTTGACTGCTAAAGATCTAATTCCCCAACACTTTTGTCAGAGGTTGTATTTATAGAAACCGAGGAATGTGTGCACAAGAATGTACCACTATTTCATGCATATCAGACCGGATTATCTATTGTTTTTACTAAAAAAAACCTGTCATACACACTCCATGTAAGACAGGGCTCATGCTTTAAATGATGTCATACCCACATGCCTTTTGTGAATGAAATGCGTTTCTCTTGGGTAACTGTTTTGTCGGAAACTCAGCAGAGTCTTGTTACCACTGTAAACAGTTATCCTTGAGCTAGATATTCCGGTCTGTACCGGTGGCTTGAGTAAGATCCTTATAGTATGTGAATTAAAAAGATTTTTACGTGTTTATTTGAAGATACCATGCTGGTATATGCTGTCAGTTTAGAAACAGTTTTGAGTGGACATGAAAATTGGATATACACTGTGAAATGGAAACCTCCAGCTCTAATTGGTAAGAAAAATTCATTTATACTACTTGTATATTGTAATTTGATTATAATTTGTTCACTGTCCATGTGTTTCATGTCTTCAAACACTTCTTTCATCAAAACTTCCAAGGAGTGATCTTTATATGGTGCTACCACTATATAGCTAAAATTATTCTAGTCTTCTGTAAAAAATGGCCATCAGAGCTTAAAGAAGAAAAACTTTTAAACTAAAAAACATCAAAATGTTGGTTTTGTTTTATGGGCCTCAAAATAGGGCTAAGAAATAAGGAATATTGGTCTGATACACTGAACAATTTAGCTGCCAGAACTGAATATAAATATGTATATACAACAAATGTACATATATGTGTATATGCCTAAACAACACTTCCTTAAAGGCCTTAGAGATGATTTTTTTTTTACTTTCTTCAGAAAGAGCAAACATTTATTGTGTTATTATGCTGGATTAGAAACATGTAAAATGCTTTTCACCTAATGTAAATAGCACTGAATATGTACATGTATAACAAAATGATTTGGAAGGGTAGCAAAATTTCTTCCATACAAAATACTAAATCATTATAACAGTGTTTATTGGCAAATGCAAAGACACAAAAAATTGCTCAGCTATATAGCCACTGGGTGACATTTTGGAAACTGTAAAAAGATTAGAAAATTTTTAAAAACTTTTGAAAAATTAAAATATTAGCATGTTTGAGGCATAAAGGGACTTAAACTGTTTGGCATAATTTAATGGAACTTATCAAGAGAAAAAAATTAATTTTACTTTACAAAATTAGCAAAATATGTTTAGTTCTACTGAACAAGATGTGGTCACAACTAAAAAGTGAACATAATGTTTTAATAACAAAAATGAATGTAAATGAAAAAATATAATTAAGCAAATTCCTGGCTTTGAGATGAATCAGATATTTTGTTTACTACAGCTGTCATGTGCAGTCTGTTTCATAATTAGACCAATTTGGCTAAATTGATATATAACTGGCATTCTTTTGTTGTCTAAGGACTTGTAAGGACTTGTATCATATATGATAATATTTTATTCATTTAGATGGTAAACAGCACCAGGAAATGTGTCTGTTGTCTGTGTCTATGGATAAAACTATGATACTATGGGAACCAGAGTCAGAATCTGGTGTATGGACTGAACAGGTAAACATAGATTCATCATTCAGGTTGTATAAGATACAACATAGTATTTAAAAGTTTAAGAATTTTGATGTAGGCCGAACAATTAGAGACTACTTTGTAATGATTTTTATGTGCAGGAAATAGATTTTGAAGGCATTGTTGTAGAATAATGCATAGTTTGAGTTCAACTGTACAGAAATATAATCATGAAGGTTGATAGACCTGAGTGATCAGTTACAAAGCATTTGAACGATAAACCATGCATACTTATACTATGATGCAAGAAAAATTAATATTTATTTCCATTTTAACATGCTAATAAAAAGAAAATTGATGAAACTATGTTGAAATAAATTGCGGGTAGAAGTAATTTTTCAGATTTAATTTGATTTATTAATGCCATATCTGACTTCAGATGACATTTAAGCATTTCTTTTTCTATGTTGTGCATATATCCTGTAATAATTCACTTGATTGCCCTATCTGTTTGAAAGGGGAATAGTGTGAAGCATGTTAGAAAATTGAGCCACGTCATGACAAAACCAACATAGTGCGTTTGCGACCAGCATGGATCCAGACCAGCCTGCGCATCCGCGCAGTCTGATCAGGATCCATGCTGTTCACTATCAGTTTCTCTACTTGTAATAGGGTTGGTAAGCGAACAGCATGGATCCTGATCAGACTGCGCAGATCCATGCTGGTCGCAAACACACTATGTTGGTTTTGTCGTGACGTGGCTCAAATGATTATATACTACAGATGAGAGTTGGAGAAGTGGGTGGCAACACACTTGGTCTTTATGGTGGAATGTTTGGTTGTCATGGTGATGCTATATTAGCTCACGGTTACCAGGGAGCCTTTCATCAGTGGGCTCGTAATAAGGTAACATATATAACTACAAAAAAAATGTTTATTTACTATTACTGTCTTTATTTGAAGATTTTACTTACTGTATTGGTACAGTCTATTATGTTACCCACTATAAAGCCAAAATTGGATGGCTAAAATTGTATCACCTTGTGGCTGAGGGGTTGCCTTTTAGGGTTGAGGCATCAGAATTGTGTCCATCCCTACGTGATAGTAAGAGGCAACTAAATGGATTCAAATTGCTGGAGTGTATGCAGCTCTCAGGTTTTAACCCCTGGTGATGCAGTTTGTAACATCTGAGGTTAGCCAAAATCATCTTTCCTGTTTCAGCGCCATATGACCTAAACTGTGTTGGTGCATCGTAAAACAGAATAAAAGAAACACTTCTTGTAAAGTTTCAGAGAGTAATAATTATTATGTTGAGAGTATACTGATAAAATTAGGAATGGAATCTGAGTGTTTGTTCTTGAAATTGGTAATAAGGCATTAAATAGAGAGAGTATAATTTTAACGTGGCTGACTTACTTTAGATTTTTTGTAAAGATGTAGTCAAAGAATTCTGGTATTTAAGCCATGAGTCTGCTTTAACTGAAAATGATTAACCATTGCCTACACATCTAAGACTATTTTGTTTGACTTGCTCTATACTTTAACTTCAAATCTTGATATCCCAGATTATGATAAATGGACTGTCCCAAAAATGAAAAGCTGGACGAGTCCATTATAAAAATTCAGCATTTTAGGTTAATAATGCGTGAGTTTATACTTGATTCAGGTCATCTTTATTTACAGGAGCTGGATATATGGGAGCATATGATTACATGTAGTGGACATTTTGATTCTGTTGAAGATATTGAATGGGATAAAAAGGGAGGTAACTTCTTACTAAGTTGCAGTTTGGATGAAACAGTAAGGTTACATGCCCCTTATGTGAAAAACGATAGAAAGGTAAGTTTGTGTATCTATTATTATAAAATGACTGATTTAAGTGTTTACAAAAGTATGTAGAATGAGAGGATTTTTCAGTCTTCACAATTTACATAAAAAAGATGCATTAATGATGGAGTACATAATGTATAATGGCTTTGATTTACCACGAAAGTCAAAGACAGATTATTAATAAATTCAGAAATATTTTATTTTCAAGGATTTCTCTTCAATTATTTTTTTATTTTTTTTTGCATGGCTACAAAGTTGCATTTGCTGTCAATTTTTCTTGTCTCTATCTGGTTTATTGCTCGATGTCAATTCACTTTAAGCTAAGCTGCTTAAAAGAAAATGTTGAGCTATAATGACAGCTGCTGCATCTTTGTATGTTGGTGTCATTGTCTTCGTGCAAAAACCTTATTGTAAACCATTATTCAAATAATTTAAAAACTTATCAAATACCTAATTATCATGACAAGAAGCAGTCATTACACAAGAGGTATAATTCTGAAGGCAACATTTTTGGAAATATGCCCCTTTTAAACTTAAGATTTTTTAACAGACAAGCAATAACATGACATGCCATGCTCTTGTGATTAATAGAACCTGATTTCAATAATATTATATGGTAAAAAATAAGTAAGCTATAACTGTTTAAATGTGTATTCAACTTTAAAAAGTTTTGACATATGAAGTCTTGTGTTTGCTTTATATTTACATATATGCTAGAAATATACATATTTTTGAATCCATAGAATGATATTGTTTTATTATTAAGTTTTATTGTGTTGCAGGTATTTTGGTATGAGATAGCGCGGCCCCAAATTCACGGATATTCTATACAGTGTTTAGCAATGATAAACAGATATCAATATGCCTCCGGTGCAGATGAAAAAGTGGTGCGAGTGTTTGATGCACCGGACAACTTTATAGAGAACTTCTGTAATTTATGTGGAGTTAACTTTAATGAGGAGTGTAAAAGTATCGAGGCTAAAAACCGACCTGTTGGTGCTAGTGTACCGGCTCTTGGACTTTCTAATAAAGCAATTTTCACTGGTGGTGGTACCACAAATTTAACAGAAGATCTTGAAATTAAACCTGGGGATAATGAGCAATATTCAGATACTGTTTTCACTCAAACATTGCTTAAAGGTAAACTATAATGTTGTGCAATAAAGATAGGGTATTTTGGTTATAAAGGTCATAAATCAACTTTACAACTTTTACTGTCATCTGAAGCACATTGACATGCTTTCAGATGTGGGTTTTTGGGCACCTTACCTGGAGAGCTTCTTTACTTGATAAAATTCACCGTCTGTAGTGAGATTCAAGTCTAGTTGTGAAGAGCTAGTGATTTTAGTTAGGGTTGTTATAATTTTCCCACTGTGTTATTTTGTACTTCATTAAATTTTTACATGCTTTACTTTCTTACATGATATTTTGAAGATAGTCATTATTTATCACTGTCAATATATTACTCTCAATAGAATGATGATATTAGAATCCTTCAATTGATGTACTAAGTAAATTTTACCTTAAACAAACTTTCTGAATTACTTTGCAAACATCTCTACATATATATTGCTTGTTTTGGTGATGACCAATAAGATCATGTTTCATCTAGCTTCAATTGACCTGTTTGTTGCAGCACATAAATGTTGATATGTACCGGTATACATCTCACTTTAAGCATTTAAACTTAACTTGTTTTTCTTCCCTTGATATAGCACCCCCTAGTGAGGAACATTTACTACAGAACACATTATGGCCAGAAGTACAGAAACTGTACGGTCATGGCTATGAGATATTTGCATTGGCATGTGATCCGCAGGGGAAAGTCCTAGCTAGTGCATGTAAAGTAAGTGTTCAATATTGATATTTATGCTTGCATAAAAATGGCACACGCAGGTATACATCTACAGAGAAGTAAACAGGCTTTAACAGATTAAATCACTTGAGCACCCACCATTGTAGCATGTTTTCCACTATGCGTAATTTTTCACTCTACATTGATTGATTATAAAAGTTATAAAAGTTCAGCTTGGCTACAAAAACATATTCATGTAAAGAAGTATTACTGGGATTTGTTGATGTACTTCATCTTATAAACTGTCTGTTAAGTTTGACGATGAATGCATTTCTTCCCATTTATTGCAGTTTTAAAACATTTCAGGAAAAATATAGGTGTAGAATTAATTTTTTTTGCTATGAAATATTCTCAATTTCAGAAATTTTTGTAAAGCTGTGATTTTTAGCTCACCTGTCACAAAGTGACAGGGTGAGCTTTTGTGATCGCTTTTCGTCCGTCCGTCCGTCGTCCGTCCGTAAACTTTTACTTTAAATGACATCTCCTCATAAACCACTAAGCCAATTTCATCCAAACTTCACAGGAATGTTCCTTTGGTGGTCACCTTTAAAAATTGTTCAAAGAATTTAATTCCATGCAGAACTCTGGTTGCCATGGCAACCAAAAGAAAAAACTTTAAATATCTTCTTTTAAAAAACCATAAGAGCTAGAGCTTAGATATTTGGCATGAAACATCTTCTAGTGAGTGTCTACCAAGTTTGTTCAAATAAAAGCCCTGGGGTCAAAATTGGCCCCGCCCCGGGGGGTCATTGATTTTCCCTGTATGCATATAGTTAAAACTTAAAAAATCATCTTTTAAAGAACCCAAAGAGCTAGAGCTAAGATATTTAGCATGAAACATGTTCTAATGGGTGTCTACCAAGTTTGTTCAAATAAAAGCCCTGGGGTCAAAATTGGCCCCGCCCCGGGGGGTCATTGATTTTCCCTATATGCATATAGTAAAAACTTAAAAAATCTTCTTTCAAAGAACCAAAAGAGCTAGAGCTAAGATATTTAGCATGAAACATGTTCTAATGGGTCTCTACCAAGTTTGTTCAAATAAAAGCCCTGGGGTCAAAATTGGCCCTGCCCCGGGGGTCATTGATTTTCCCTATATGCATATAGTAAAAACTTAAAAAATCTTCTTTTAAAGAACCAAAAGAGTTAGAGCTAAGATATTTAGCATGAAACATGTTCTAATAAGTGTCTACCAAGTTTGTTCAAATAAAAGCCCTGGGGTCAAAATTGGCCCCACCCCGGGGGTTCATTGATTTTCCCTATATGCATATAGTAAAAACTTAAAAAATCTTCTTTTAAAGAACTCAAAGAGCTATGGCTAAGATATTTAGCTTCAAACATGTTCTAATAGGTGTCTACCAAGTTTGTTCAAATAAAAGCCCTGGGGTCAAAATTGGCACCGCCCCGGGGGTCATTGATTTTCCTTATATGTGTATAGCAAAAACTTAAAAAATCTCCTTTGAAAAAAACCAAATAGCTAGAGTTAAGATATTTAGCATGAAACATCTTCTAGTAAGTGTCTACAAAGTTTGTTCAAATAAAAGCCCTGGGGTCAAAACTGGCCCGGCCCCAGGGGTGTCATTGTTTTTAACTATATGTGTATAGTAAAAACTTAAAAAAAAATCTTCTTTTAAAAAGCCCAATGAGCTAGAGCTTAGATGTTTAGCATGAAACATCTTCTTATGGGTGTCTACCAAGTTTGTGCAAATAAAAGCCCTTGGGTTAAATTGGCCCTGCAACGTTGGGGGGGGGGTTGGGGAGCCTATATACAGGTGAGCGACCTCAGGGCCATCATGGCCCTCTTGTTTTTCTGATAATGTGTATTTCTATATGTAGGCTGCAAAGGCGGAGTTTGCATCTGTGATATTATGGGATACTGTTACTTGGCAACAGATTTGTGTTCTAGAAGGTCATAACCTCACTGTGACACAAATTGTGTTTTCACACAGTGGAGAGTATATACTGACAGTGTCAAGGGACAGAACTTGGTTTTTATACAAAAGAAAAGGGGCTGACTGTCCGGAATCAGGTACAACTTTTATCATCTATTCAATTTCTGTAAATAAGTAAAACACAGATGTTGTTTATTACTTAGATAGAAAGTAAAGTTTAAAGATATACTATGCTCATCTTTGGGTAAAATAATTTCTTTGCAAACATTGATTGAAATTTAGAAAGTTCACACTGCAAATGTAGAGTTTAAAACGTGTGTCCTATAAAAGAAGTTTATTGTACATTTAAAAACAGACCATATTATAGAAATCATCAATTTTTTCAAATACCAAATTTCTAATTTAATTTACAACCCCTTCGCTGCCAGAGGGTTATTGATCACCTATTTGCCAGAGGGTTTTCTAAGAAATTACTATATTATTAATCAATATAATTATATAATTAGTATTATAATAATAATATATGTTTCCAAATCTGTTAGTATAATAATAATTATTGTTGATAGTATAATTTTCTTTATATTTATTATTATTTTGATTAATATTATTATTGATTTATTATTATTATCATTAATATTATAGAAACGGCTAAAGCTGTTCATATGGAGTATACGCCGAAAATAACAGGGCAGTGAAAGGGTTAAAGAATATTAGTGCTCACTGTATATAATACTTATGCAAACCTTGCCAACTTTTTTATAGATTATTACATAACAAAGTAATTCATTACCACCAACATAGTCATTCATGTAGTTTTATCACATACTATTGCCGTTTTTGTTGCATCGTAAAAAGCCAGAGGCTTGCATAATATAATTTTATTCACCTCATTTGAAGAATTCACTTGTTCAGTATCCTCAATTTATTTTATCAATTATTTTTACAGATCCATTGTTCTCGTGTATAGCTAGCGTGGACAAGAAGACTTGCTTACATTCACGAATTATTTGGTCATGTTGCTGGTCACATGATGACAAATATTTTGCTACAGCATCAAGAGATAAAAAAGTAAAAACCATTTGAGCAGCGTCATGACAAAACCAACATAATGGGTTTGCGACCAGGATGGATCCAGACCAGCCTGCGCATCCGCGTAGTCTGATCAGGATCCATGCTGTTGGCTTACAAAACCCTATAACAAGTAGAGAAACTGATAGCGAACAACAGGGATACGGACAAAAGCCCCCCCGGACGAAAGCCCCCCCATCTAAAAATGACAAGGTGGACAAAAAGCCCCCCCATGAAATTTTCACATAGGACAAAAGCCCCCCATAAAAAAGTTAAGGTAGGACAAAAGCCCCCCCCCCCCCATAGTCAATCAAATTTACATATATTGTATTAAAAATGTGTTTTTTATGTGTTTAAAAGATATGTATGGACATCACATGTAGGTGACATAGTGCTTAGGATATTAATTTGATCCCTTTACAAAAGTGATTAAACATCACTACTCTTCTCACCCTTGCTATGTATATGAAAAGCTATGAATTCGGTATCACATGCATGCATTATTTAATTTTTTACCATAAACTTTGTTATCACTTCAATATATACATTATAAATAAACATTAAAACAAATTCTTTTCATTTTTATTTAAAATTTTGTGTGAAATTTGATGAATTTGAGCACCTGTTTGTGTGAAAAAAGATGGGGGGCTTTTGTCCTACCTGTATTTTTGATGGGGGGGCTTTTGTCCTATGTGAAAATTTCATGGGGGGGGCTTTTGTCCACCTTGTCATTTTTAGACGGGGGGGCTTTCGTCCGGGGGGGCTTTTGTCCTACACTCCGAACAACATGGATCCTGATCAGACTGCTCAGATGCGCAGACTGGTCTGGATCATTGCTGGTCGCAAACCCATTATGTTGGTTTTGTCGTGATGCGGCTCATTTGTATATTGTAACTTTGTTCATATTATTAGTAATACAGTAAAATGCCACCTAACGACCACGCCACAAATAGGACCACGCCGTTATTACGGGCACTTTTTAAAAGTACAAAATATTTGCCTTCTTTATTCATTGAGAAAAATGACCAGTATACCGACCACGTCTCTAATCCGGCATAACGACCACTTCTGTCAGACATTTGTGTGTATTTCTTATCAAAACATTAACCTGTATAACGACCATGCAACATAATGGCCAGACATCACTTGGTGTTTATTGACCCCCAATTAATTGTCGTAATCTTCCCTCTGGCGTAAACAAATACACCGGGTCAAGTGAGGTCATTAATATGTATCGATTGATTAGACGCTTGCTTTACACCATTGATTAGACGCTTGCTTTACGGTGTATCTTTAGAATTCAAACGTCAACATGATCAGTTTAAATCACTTCTGGCTAATTAATCTAAGCAGCTATGGTGTGAGAAACGATTAATTTGTCAGCGTAATTAGGATGTGATAAACTGGTAAATAGCATTAAGGATTGTTTGTTGTGCATCACAATTTGTAGCAAGTATGGTAAAAAGTGATAATTACACCAAATTATCAGTTCATGTGTGCTTTATTTCGATATGTAATTAATGTATAAATCATAATGAGAGTTATAACTATATTTAATACCTCATATTTTTCCTCTATAGGGGAGACTTAACATCTAGCCGTTTATTGATATTTTCATTATATTAATGATGTATCATAATTATTATCATGCATTAAATTTTTTTTTTTGTTTCAAAAATATGTGTTTCTTTTTACTCATTTTATTAAGTATATTTACCATGTGCATAAAACTATGTAAGGTATACATTAAGTTAAGTTGGACTTCGTCAGCTATTAAAGTGACTTACTCACTATTAAGACCAATTCACTATTAAGACCACTTTGAGTCAGTCCCGTAAGTGGTCTTAATAGAGAGAATTTACTGTAAATAGTTTTGACCAGATATATGGTCCTATATAAACAGTTGTTTGGTCATATAACTTGAGTCATTAGGGGAGAGTTTTATAGCAAACAGCAGTTTATATATGGACATATTACCATTAAAGAATCTTTATAACTTATTTGGCAGTCAGTTAAGAGTACTTTAAATATCTCTGTAGTAAATTTTGTAGAATGTTACAAACTTGCCTCACATCGCTGTCGGTTTGAATTCCATCACCCATGACTTTGTATTCTTTCTTGTCAGTAAGCTATCTAGCAAGCTTATGAAAGGTCAGTGGTTCTACTCAGGTTCTTGTTTGTACCTGAAATAATGCATGGAAAGGCACCTAGGTTTTTTTACTCCGCCAAAAAGGCTGGAAAGTCGCCATTTGACATGAACTGTGTTAGTGTGATGTGAAACCCAACAAAAAGAAAGATGCAAACTTCAGTCAAACTTCCCTGATATACATGATAAAGGTTCAAGTTTACTTTTTTAAAGACATACACTGATAAAAATATATATCATGTGATGAAGAGAATCAATTATAGTTAATACTGAATTTATTTTATTTATCCATTTCTGGAACCAACCAGTACTGAGCAATGAATGTCAAGTTTCTTGCAACGGCTTGGCCCTGACAGGGTTTGAGCCCAAGTGGCTTGCCATCTAAAGATAACTAGTCTGCTTGTTAATCGCTCAGCCATGCTGCCACTGCCCCCCAAAAAAACAAAAAGAACAAAACCTTACAGTCTTAAATTGTTAAAATTGTAAATTCACTCCCAGAAATGCTTGAAAGCTGGTAACATGCCCCCTTTATAAGGTTTTATAGACTTGTTTATAAAGTCCCTTTGAAATGGCAATGAACTCATCGTATATAATATTGATATTTAATATTTTGATGTAGAATATGATATTTAGCATATATAATCATGATTACAGGTGATTGTATGGCAGTGTCCTGTAGGTTCCGATGTAACATCAACAGCTGTCAGTAAACTAGAGCTACCAGATTCTGTCACAGCTATACATAGTGCTCCAGTGTTTCTTCATGATGGAAGGTCCTCCCATTATAATACTTTATGCCATTATATATGTTTATCATACTTAATCCAACCAAAATTTTCTAGAATTAGTTAAAATTAAGTCATTGTTAAGTTTACTGTTTCTCAACAAATTCCTAAATATTTCCTGCCAAATATCTAAATCTAGCCTGAATGGTCTCAGTGGAAAAGATTTTCTATGTTTTCACAATCTAAATACTTGATAACCCATGACCTTTTGGTGCAGGGCCAATTTTAACCCAAAGTCTATAAATTGCTTTGGTCAGAATCAAATCACCTTTTAAAAATTTTATATTATTTTCTCGAAAGTTTGTATTATTGTTATTATCACACTACTTACCAGAATGTAAATAGAGCATATTTTACAATGTTTTACAGTTACCTGTTTGCTGTTGGCCTAGAAAATGGACATATTCTGTTGTACAGTTGGTCACTTGCTGAACCGTCGTCGTGGAAACATCTGACTACTCTAGATAACAAGTATACTTTTTATTGAATTGTTTCTTGTTGTTAATAAAAGCTATTTAGATTTAAGATCTTTTGAACCAAATGAGTCAGTGTTAGCTGGAACACTTACAACAATTTTGGTTTTTTAGCTTGACTATTAGAAGAATAAAGGGAGCTTTTGTGCACTTTTAGGCATTGGCACTGCCGTCTTACTGTGCTTAAGTTTTTGCATGCAAGTAGGACTCTCCTAAACACCTGTAAATTAGGGAGAGCTTTAGTACTCTCTTAGCGTTAGCTTTGCCATCACACTTTGGTTAAGTTTTTGTGTGCAAATATCTCCAAAACTATTGAAGTGAATTGGTTGAAACTTCACACACTTGTTCACTGTGATTATCTAACATAATGGGTGCAGGTCCCATAACTCTGAATTACCATTTCCACAAAATTGTGCCCCTTTTCTAACTGTCCGGCTCTGAGACTAGTCGAGCTCAGTTGAAATTTAATATAATGTTAATATTTGTATCTTATTAAGGTTTAAAGGAGTTTTAGTTTTTAATGTTCTCAAAATTCATAAGTTTACTATTCACAAATGTTTCACTTTTTTATTTAAATTTGTTACATAAGTGTGTAACATTTATGTGAGGGAAGGTTCAAATAAACTGTGAATAAGATTTTTTTTAATTTGAAAGAATTTGTTCTTTTTCTATGTACTTCTTTAACTTTCTTACAGCACAGCTCATCATATGACTGTGAAACGTCTGAAGTTTCGACCTTGTCTTGGTTTATGTGGTATCCATGGTGATGACCCCACAACGTCAAAGGTGAAGGACTCAGACAATTGGTTACAGTTGGCAAGCTGTAGTGCGGATCATTCTGTGAAGATATTTGACATTAATCTACAAACGTTTCTCGCTTCTAGTTCATCCTGATGAAATAGACCCTTTCATCAGATGTTATTTAAATGTGTCATTTCAAAAATGGGTGTCCCTGGCTGAGGTGGTTAATGTCGTTGACTTCAAACCACTTGCCCCTCACTGCCGTGTTTATGAATCCCAACAGGGACATTGGATTCTTTCATGTGAGGAAGCTATCCAGCTAGCTTACAGGTCATCGCTGGTTCTACTTGTTAAATATTACTATTTCATTCTATGATATACTTTATACAATCAGCATTACCAGGTATACTGTTGATTTAATGAAATAAAATACACACCAACACTCTAGTGTAGAATTTATATATGATGTTTTAATTTATTACCAAATAAACTTTACAATAAAATGATAATTATGATACATGTGTTTGTCTCAAATTGTAAATATATATTTGTTTATGTTGGAAGGATTAAAGTATAGAAAGTTGTGAACTTGAGGCAGGAACAGCAAAATCTGGTTTTGACTTACTTGCCCATTTTTATCTTGAGCATTTCTTAGCTTGTCCATATGATATTTATATAGCATTGGGCAAGTCGGGAATTAGTTTTTTTACTGTTGATTTAACAAAGAAAAAGAGATTTCAGGAGTAGAAAATAAATCTATCTTTAGGCAATGCCTGAAAGCTTGTACTCGTGATACAGTAATTCTTGAAAATTTTCACTTATCCATACAGACTGTGGGACAACCTTGGCAATACAGATAATTGCTTTTGCTGCCTCTGTGAGGTCTCTGTAAATGTAGAAAAATTTGATTACCAAAGAGTTTTTTTTATCACAAGTGCAGTATTTAACAGTAGTCTACATAAGCATTTTGTAGCATATAAACAAATTAAAATCAGTAAAACACCATCCAGAACATAAATTTAATCTAGATTACTGTTGTCTGGTGGCCCTTAACTTTGTTTTTGGTTTGCTTTTTTATACTAATGTATATCACAGATTCCAGCTTTGGTTCTTCTTGGATGCTGGTTTGAACCTTAAACAGTGCATAGTGTGGCTCGGAAGGTCTTCCTTCACCTGTAAACTGAAAAGTCACATTTCCGAAGCTTAACTGCTTCTCATACCAGAATAAAAATTCCTGCACATTCAGCTGAAGGGTTAGTGATCCAGTCATCGGCCTTAACAATTGTCATATGATGTAGTCATGTAAATACATCAATACCTGCCATAATTCACTTACTTTACAGTAATCATTTCCATTGAAAACGGGCCAATTTATTTAAACTGGAGGTTTCTTACTCCATCTTAAAAGATCATCTCATGGATCTGAATACTGGATGTAAACAGTTTTACCTGTTAAAGAGCAAATAATTACACAATAAAGATATGTAAGGAGTAAATTATTGTAAAGTAGCAGAAACTACATGTATGTTTCTCGCAGTCTGATGATAACCTGGTTGTTAGTATCAAAGGGTCATAACTCCATAAATGTTGCTCTAGAATAATGCCTTTTTAGCTCGACTTTTCTATGAAAAGGGGAGCTATCCTACTCGCCCCGGCGTCGGCGTCGGCGTTGGCGTCACACCTTGGTTAAGTTTTTCGTACCACCCCACTTTATTTCAGAAGTATTACAAGTATGGCTTTGAAACTTACCATACTTGTTCACCATCATAACCTCCATCTACAGACAAGAGTACATAACTCTGTCAAGGTTTTTGACAGAATTATGGCCCTTTTTTGACTTAGAAAGTGTATTGAGCTTGGTTAAGTTTTTTGTACCACCTCACTTTATTTCAAAACCATTGGAGGTATTGCTTTGAAACTGACCATACTTGTTTACCATCACGACCTTCATCAACAGACAAGAGGACATAACTCTGTCAAGGTTTTTGACAGAATTATGCCCCTTTTTGACTTAGAAAATACATTGAATATGGGTAAAATCCACTTATTGCCTTAACCCTTTGAGATATTGCTTTGAAACTTTTAATGCTATTTCACATCATTACCCCCATCTGTACGCAAGAGAAGGTAACTCTGTCAAGGATTTGTTTTAAAAATTAAGGCCTTTTATCGACTTAGAATCTTGGTTAAGTTTTTAGTACCAGTCCACTTTTTGACTGAACTGTTTGAGATATTAATTTGAAAGTTGGAATACTTGTTTACAATCATGATTCCCAAACATGTCCAGGAGAAGGTAATTCTGTCAAAGATTTTATTTGAATTATGGCCCTTAACTGTCAATGTTTTGTATTATAGGCAAGCACTAAAAAACTTAAAAAATCTAAAAAAATTCATTCCTATCCACTTGTTCACTTTACCATAAATTATGTCATATAAACATTGCTGTAATATTCAAGGGTATCAAACAACTAGTTTTTTTTTCTTTCTTACCAGCCCTCTTTTGACTTAAACATTTCAAACTTTGCTGCAGTGTTCAAGGGTATCACACAATTCAGTAAAATAATTCTTCACTAAATATCTTAATGCTCATGGCCATTGTTCACTTTAAAAATACAGAGATTCTTGTATTGCCTTTTACTGCAAAAACTTTTTTTATTGGCAAGCAATAAAAAAGTCGAGCGCGCTGTCTTACGGACAGCTCTTGTTGTCTAACAACTGCACTTTGTCATGATAAGCAAGTATTCCAAGTTTTATGGTGGTAACTTGAAATGTATGAATAATGATCTATTTTTAAAGTTTTTGCACAAAGACGCCCCATCGAGTCCATAATGGCTCAAATACTTCTTCAAAATACCAGCTGAAAACGATAAAGGTTTTAAGGAAAACACAGAAGCTGTTAGAAAGTATGTTTTTTGTTTATTTTTTAACCACAATAAATTGTGTTTTGAACTTGACAACAATATTGTTACATGCAAATTACATGTATAAATTAAAATTTACACTAAATAAAAATATCTATGCTAACAAAAAACATAGGCAAAAAAAATATGCAATAAAATTTATCTATGGCTTCACTTGATATAGTCTAAACATTAGATATAATGTAGCCTATATGTAAAAACTTTCTTTATATACAATATGGATTATTTACAGCACAACTCAAATACATTCATTTTGAAATTGGTTAAAACGTACACACAAAACCGAAATTCACATTTCTGTGTTTGTATGTAATTAAGAATATTTATATAATTTGGTTATAGCTCAATATTATTTGCACTATACATGTAATAATATACATACAGAAACTTAAATCATACAAGCTTTTACAATTGTACATCTTATTTATACGATCCTTTCATACATTCCCTCAAAGTTTTAAACATAAAAACATTTAAACATTGATTAGTTGGCTTATTATTTAATGCTTGTTATAAACAATTGACTCCTGTGTTAAAATTAAACTTCTAAACAGTTAAGTTCACACTTCAGCAATTTTCCTATATTTGCTATTTCCTTCTTAATATTAGTTACAAGTTCATTATTAGGCCCCTTATTGGAAAGTTTAGTTATATTTCTCACAAAGGCAAAGAATGAAAATTTTAACAAGAGGTGAGAAGTTTCTTTGCATGATTTAAGAGAATTGTGATTCATTTAATACCTTAAAACTTTCTTAAATACAGTGATAGTCTTTGATTATAAAAACAATTTTTGAATTTGAAATCGAGAGCTGTTATGATTTTTTAATAATAAAAATTTACAAAATAACAGTCACCTTCAAGAACGGACATACTATCCTGATAACAACAGATTATAAGTATTTTAAACCGGGAATTCGGTCACTTTTTCACGGATAATTACACAAAATGTTCATCATAATGCATATTATTATTCCAAATTAAAACTGATTTTATTAATGTACCCTGAAGAGAAGAAAGATGATCAGCCAAAATGGTATATTACTTGGGATTTTAAAAATTTGCAGTTGACTACTTATTTTTAGTATACAATTAAAACTTTGGTATTTCTGAACAATATAAACCTCGGCAAAGGGACCACATCGTGATGGCGTCACACGTCATGTATTCTATATAACATCAATTAAACATTTACAAATACTTGCATACGTTAATAAATAAATTGAGTAAAAAATGTATACACCTTTTCTGTACAATAGTATTGAAAAAAATACTTAAAACATCAAATACTTTACAAAAAAATACTACGAAAAAGTTACAAAATCTTGTAGAAAATGGTTCTAAAGTCTGCTGTTTGTATATTTGAACGTATAAAATCCATGTCTGAATACATGTATCAACTTTCTCTTACTTAACTAACAACTGTTGCTAAGTAAACATCAAAGGAAAGAAATAGAAGATGCACAACATGTTTGTACAAATCACAGTTTATCAACCATAGAAAATCTTGGTGTTCAACTTTTTAGATAGTTAACATTAATTTGATCATACAAGTTTAATAATATCATGTACACATCATTACAACGGCATCTATTACAGTAACAAATTCAGTTTTTTTGTATTTTTCATGTGTTTTAGCTGTGAAACAAAGAGGTTTTAGAAAAAAAACCTATGAATCATGGTTAATTTGATAGTTGATGAAAGCCTAACAAAAACCTGACCTGGTTAATACACAGTATTATAAATTGTTCAGGTTTTGTACGAGTATATAAAACAAGATTATGCATCAATACATTCTGAAGCTGGCATAATGCAGAGATGAAAAGAAAAAATAAAGTGAACACAATACTGGTTATCTACACTCCCCTCAACCTTCAATATAACTACACATTAATTTGTTCATTAAGTATTCATTTTCTTGGTTTTATATATATTTCTCTACCAAACTGTAACATGTGTGTGACACATGTATATAAAATCTACAGTATGTCTATAAGCACCCAGTAGTGGTTTTCTTCTGTCTACAAAATTGAAATTAACCCATTCCGCGCTTGAACCGAAAATGGTTAGTCCTTGCCACCAGTATAGAGTCCAAAGCTAGGCAAGCCTGCACTTCTGTGCAGTCCGACCAGGGTCTACACTGTTAGCTGACCAACTTCAAATTTTCATCTTGATATACCCAAAAAATGAAATTGGACTATTCCAAAACAGAAGCTGGAAGATTTCATGCAAGAAATTCTGCAGGAAAAAGGTTAATCATTTAATTTTAGCATTTCATTACAATTATAAATGTATAATGTCACTATAGAAACAAACATCACATGTTTATTACACTTTGGTGTTACTATAAATAGCACATAACTAACAGGTAGACACTGTATATGTGAGCAGTAATAGTTACATTTTGATTGTTCTTCATTTTGCATTCAATTTAACATGTCTCACCCCAAATAGCTTATCACAAATCAACCTCCAATTACATAAGAATTAAATATCTGCTTGACAGTTTGACTGTCATTCTAAATCTCAACATAATTATTTAATACAGTCACTTGTACATCAAACTGTATGTGACTCATAAACATTTTTCAATATATAACAATACACAGTTGATATCTAAAATTATGTATCAATATATTTTATACCTTAAAGTTAGCAAATTAATCTTCATAAAGCACATCTAAAAAATCTTAACTCACAAAAACAAAATGATCTTAGAGAGATTGAGTAAATCTTAGGTCTCCTACAACAATACAATCACTCGAGATATTGCGTGGCCGGCCTATCATTGTACAGTATGAACAATCACTTGAGATACTGCCAGCCTATCATTGTACAATATGAATAATCACTCGAGATATGGACGGCCTATCATTGTACAGTATGAATAATCACTCGAGATATGGCCGGCCTATCTCGAGAAATGGCCGGCCTATCATTGTACAGAATGAACAATCACTCGAGATATGGCCAGCCTATCACTGTACAGTATGACGCCCACCTATCATTGTACAGTATGAATATCAGAATCCGGTAGGATATGACATATCACAGTAAAATGCCATCCATATTCCTCATGGAAGAATAATCAAGTGACATTGCCAGGCCAGCATAATTCTCTCAAATTATAATTTTTGTTAAATTAATGCCACAATGCCAGCATTAGTACAGGTACATCATTATAATAAGCTGATATGCAAAAAGTGCAATGAACAAGGTAAATATCGAGTACTAGATGTATTCTTAGTATATCAAATTACTTTTTTTTTTAAATTCGAACGATCTTCTGAATGTTGCATTAACAATATGAACTTTACATGTACAACATCTCTATTTCTTGATATACCTGCTTTCAGCCACGTGAACAAGTGGGCCGGAAAAGGTAACAAACTGCCACGGCACTGTTATACAGCTCCTTGCATGGTTTTGTCTGTCTCACGATTTTGACTAGTTCTCCATTGAAATAGTGTATTTTGATAATAAAACATTATCTGTCAGAAATCCTTGCGGGTTTTTTTTTTGCAATTTTGGGGTGTTTATTTGTTTGTTTTTTTACATTTGACTTTATATATAACCTCATTACGAAGATATATATTTCAAGATACAGTTAGATTTCCCGTTATATTCCTTGATGTGTCTGTCATCAGGTGTAGTGTATGGTAGTTATATGTCTTGTTTTCGGAAGAGTAGAAAGTTTCTCATTCAATACCAAATGTGCTCGTTTCTTCTACAGCAGTGACTAGCTTCTCAAACAGCATTTCAAATGTTGTATATGGGGGCAGGTCAAGCCGGTTAAAACAGGTGTGAGCTCTGTATAAATAAAATAAATTTTTAATATTTTAAATGACAAAAAATTTCACTCTAAGTAAGATTTAATTTTCAATTACAATATTATTACTTGAAGCAATATTACATTATCACCTGATTACATAACAAGAGCCGTCAGAAGGACAGTAGGCTGGACTATTCTGAGTGCTTGATAGTAAAACAAGAGCCTGGATAATGAAAAAATTTCTAGTACAAAAAGGAACATAATTTTGTCAAAATCTATGTTAGAATTATGAGCCTTTGAAATAACCTTCTATTATGATCTCAAATGATTGTGTGAAGTTACAACCCATTCCTTAAAGTAGTTTAGGAGATACCAAAACTTAACCAAAGTGTGATGCCAACAGGGGTACAATAGCTCTCCCTATTTTTTGAATAGTCAAGCTAATAATTAAGGAAAAACATAAATTTCACATGTAGAACATTTCCAGCAAAATTGAATTTATATCTTTTACGCTATTGTTCATTATCAACATTCAAATTCACATGTGGGTAAGATCTAATGTTGTATAAAATGTTAAACACCCTAAAGTGATATTAAATAGACAAAAAATTGTGCAAAGGTTATCATACAGCTATCAGATGATTTTATCATATAAACCTTCAAGTTATATTATCATATCAATATAAACACCCACCTTGGTAGACTGGTTACTTTTCCCCACTTCTCTATACAGAATTTCCGTGGACCATTACTTCCTCTGAGGGCAGCAAATCCTTCATATGGTATACTAGAAGTCCCAGTTACAAACTGAAATATTACAATATAATTGTTTTAATTACGTACCAAAATACTTGTCATAACTTATCTAACAATCATGTAATATTAAAGTAATACAAATAACAATGCATGTATCATGTCACAGAAAACAATTTGTACACAAGTACAGTCAGCACTAACAGAGTAACAGTCTCTGTGCATGTACACAAGTACAGTCAGCACTAACAGTGTCTGTGCATGTACACAAGTACAGTCAGCACTAACAGAGTAGCAGTGTCTGTGCATGTACACAAGTACAGTCAGCACTAACAGAGTAGCAGTGTCTGTGCATGTACACAAGTACAGTCAGCACTAACAGAGTAGCAGTGTCTGTGCATATACACAAGTACAGTCAGCACTAACAGAGTAACAGTGTCTGTGCATGTACATAAGTAAAGCCAGCACTAACAGTGTCTGTGCATGTACACAAGTACAACCAGCATTGACAGTGTCTGTGCATGTACACAAGTACAGCCAGCACTAACAGTGTCTGTGCATGTACACAAGTAAAGCCAGCACTAACAGTGTCTGTGCATGTACACAAGTACAGCCAGCACTTACAGTGTCTGTGCATGTACACAAGTACAACCAGCACTGACAAACATTTGTAACTGTACACAAGTACAGCCGGACAAATGTCTGTCCCTGTACACAAGTACAGTCAGCATTGACCAACATTTGTTCCTGTACACAAGTGTACTGGCACCATTTTGAGATAACAAATATAAAGCTTATACTCGTATACCAAGCAGTAATACCTATAGATGTAACAAACAAATAGAATACCTGCAATAAACGTAGTCTACGTTCATTATCAAACTTCTCTATGGCCTCCCAAAACCAAATAATCACTTGATTTAAATTATGATAACCTGAAATTAAAACAAATTGTAAACTTGAATATCAACAAAATATATACCTTTTATAGTTGCATGTAAAGTACATATACATACATGTATGACAGGGAACTCAATAATCAATAAGTGTAGCATGCTTTCCTAAATGTACATCATGATACAAGATATTTCTCTGGTTAGGTTTTAGGTTGCAATAACAAAGTACAGGTCATATGGCAACTTTCCAGCTTAACCTCTGGAACACGTCAAGTAAGTGCATTATACTAGGCATGAGCCGGCACCAAAGTAGAACCCCTTATGTTTGGTAAGCTAGCTGGACAGCTTCCTCACATGATGAAATCCAAAGTGCCTGGCAGGATTCGAACCTACAGCAGACCGGGGCATACGGTTTGAAGTCTATGAGCTTAAACACAGACGTCTCTAACAAATGTTTTAGTTTAGGTGAAATACGTCAAGCCAAATGCACAAATACATTAAAATCTATTTATACACGAGTACATACCAGATCTATATTCTGTATTTTTCCTCCAATCATTGATATCTATTTCCACAGTTCCAGCAATAACAAGCTCAAGTTCTCGGGCATCAAACACCGAGACAATACGCGGATCGAGCACCTCGTGGAAACCTTTTATGATACTCTCCATCTGTTCAGTAACGCCACGTTCTAGTCGCCACTTCACCATTCTCTCTATATACTCTTTCTTATTCTTCTCTGTCACAGGAATATTCTTCCCATTCTGTTTCAGCTCACGTTCTGTTACCTATAGTATAAATCACATCATTTCATACATTGTTTATATCAACTGTTCTTATTAATGTTTCAAGTTTTAAAAAGAAGCAAGCCCTAAAACAGTATGTAGTATGTACATCTAAAATTTCAAAGAAAGAAACATGGCAGCATGGCCAAGTGATTAACGCTTCGGACTAGTAATCTAATGATTGCTAGCTGCATGGGTTCAAACCCCATCAGGGGCAAGTCATTTTCTTGAGCAAAAATTTTTTCAGTCATTGCTCAGTACTGGTTGGTTCCAGGAATGGATTCAAAAGTGTGTCTATAAGCTTATAGCTTCCTACACAATCAAACTAAAATAAATTCTATATTAACCAAAGAAAGAAACAAATATTTCTTTTTTTTTTAGTTATGAGTCATGTCCCTTTAAAATAACCATCTTGTACCCAAGCACCTTTGAACTGGCTAAGCATTGTTTTACAAACATAACGTCAAATATGTATAAAACAGTATATGACATTACCTGTCCGAATACTTCTTCATTTACAGAGAAGAAAAGATCCATATCTAGTTCGGATATATCGTTTTCCTTGACCCAGGTCAAACTCTGGTGAAACTCGGCATCATATGCCTCCACATCAGCTAAACAACATGGCCTGTTTATGTAAACATATCATACTATAAGATTATTGCAAGATTTTAAAAATCATTAATACACTAATGATCTCTTTTTTATTTGAGAATAATATTTTCAAAGAATATTAAAGGGACTGGAAATATTTTTTTCAAGACTTGTGTACCATTTGATATAGGTCTGGACAAATAACGTGTAAGCAAAATTTCAGATCATTCCTTCACACTGTCTCCCAGAATAATTATTTTTATTGTATAAAATTACAAAAATTTAAAATCATTCAAACACTTTTCACTCAAACTGGTGTTTAATCGTGAAAAAAATAGATTATCAATTTACATGATTTATGTTGATTATCTTTTGTAAATTTGTCAATTTTAAGTACATCACTTGATCTGAGCAATAATTAACTTTCATGTATGCTTGCTTCTTTTACTGGTTCAAATTCCTTCAGGGACACTATATTTATGTCAAACATAAATGTATGTAAAACCTATTGTTTTAATGACTGTATAGTAAAATGTTCTGTTGAATTCTAACCATAATCACACACATCTAGAAACTGACACCATAATGTAATTAATCAAAAATAAACTTACACTCGCAGTAAGAACTTGTAGAAAGGTCGTGTGAAGAAAGCGTCCAAGAGATATTGATGTATTAATGCAAGTCCCAACACTCGACCAGCAAAACGGAACCTTATAAAATAAAGGACAAATATATATTAACAGACAAAATATCACTTGACACATAAACAATATAACATACAGAACGGTCAATATTAAAAGTATAAATTAGTTGCATGGTGACAAAACAACTTGCACATTCATAACCAAAAAATCTCAATTTCAATTTTTCTATATTGCATTCATTAATTTCAACAACAGACTTCTTTAAATTGAAAGAATATATCCATTACTTGAAACAGAGCATAAAGGTTTAATGTATTAATTTCAATGTATAAATCCAAAACATCTTTTTCTTCAGAATCAAGCTTTTCAACATGGTCAATACTTATTTGCAATAAGAATCAAAATTGCTTGTATGATGTTCTCTGAGCATAATCACTTAGTTTTTAGCATATAGCTATGTATTGAGAATCTAACTATTACCCAGCTAAATAACTTGAATGAAATTGTCTGTAAATAGGGACTCAACTATTCATCATTTCTAGGGAAAATTAAAATGTACATGTATGTACTGAGAGAATAGCAAGCACAGTGCAGAAAATGATCAGATGCGTTAGCTGATCTTGATCTACAGTGGTCGCATGTATAGATTCTGTAGCTGCCTGCAGTCTAATGGTTAATATTACATATAAAACCTTTTAAGAAATTACCATTCATGACAATTCTCTACGAACGCTGACATTGGACTGACTTGCACTGTGTACGTGTCATTAGCAGAGTACTCAAACAACCCGTAGTACGGATTAAACAATTCCCGTGACAACAGGAAGAAAAATTCTCGTGAAGGTCCTCCGTAATCTAGACCCTCCTCACCAGTAAACGTGATGTACAGTTTACTCTTCTGTAACTCTTTCTTCGGGGTGGACATGATTTTGTTGAAGGAATCCTCTAAGACATGATCTCTTCTAACCATCATTCTACAAGAATATATAATATTTACATGTCAAATAATCGTTTTGTACGTCCATTACCGAACATTACATTTCTAAGCATTTATTTACATTTATCAAAATAATTTATACAATTTTGGTATCAAGGGTATTATAAGATGATTTTTTGTGCTACTTAAATCTTTTGCTGGTTTTATCAATGCTAGGTCATTACCTTTGTACAAATACAGCTTGTAGTCACTAAGCTGTGAAACTGACACTTCAACCAATATACTAACACTCATTTTCAAATCACTCCTTTTACTTCTTATTATGGAAAAAGTAATAAAACAAAGCTTCAGATCTATTTTGACAAAAGTATTCTTTGAAATTTCATGAAAGGTGAGGAAACGTTTTAAATTAAATATTAATACAACAGATCATTTAAGTATTGAACAATAATTACTTTAATTTGCCAGGTCCCTGTCCATGACCTTTTTGCTCTAGTTTGCGGTAGAAATTTCTAAGTTTGGCATGGAAATCTCTCTTGTATGGAGCGGGGACTCGCACATTAGACCTTGCTGTATCTGTTACCATAGTATCTGAAAAATATACACCAAAAATGAGGCATAAAATTACTGCACATAGAAAATGCCAGCATAATGTATTCATTTCTAATAACTCTAGCAAAGAGAGAAATGTAACTTAAGTTATCTTAAATTTCTGCATGTTTGTAAAATCGCTTTTCATTGGATAATCAACATCCATATATACTACATACACCGTTGCCATCAATTAATGAAGCAATTTCTATTATTCTCAAATTATGGACGCTTGCTGTATTATAGATTTGTTATATCAGCATATGTTTGCATTTTAACCCTTGCCTAGCTGCTCAGGTAATATATGCAAACAACTATTTATATAGGGCCATATAAACTGTCAAAAATCTTGAAAACTTATACCATATTTAATCATTTAATCAACCAAAATATAATGCATAACAAACCACAAAAGTAATTTGAGAAGTATTTAAATTCAGACATTGTAAAGGTCATTTATCGACTTTCTAGCTTTACTGTTGGAGAGAAACCTCAGGGGCCCTTCTGTGCATTATTTTAGGCACAAACAGACACCCGAGTAGAACCACTGACGTTCCATAAGCTAGCTGGATAGCTTCCTCACATAAAAGAATTCAAAGTCCCTGGAAAGATTCAAACCCGCAGTGGTGAGGGGACAAGTGGTTTAGTCTATGACCATTACTACCTGGCCACAGAGTCTTTCAACAACTAAGGAAACAAAGGTTAATCAGCATTATATAATGAAATACTAGTATACTGACTAGGTGAGGTATGAGGGGAGTCTGTGACAGATGTTTCCATGGGAGATGAAGATCTTGTCATTCCCAACAGGTGTGGTGGTATAAATGACATTATATCATTCTCAAATACACTGAAATATATAACAAAACAAATTAAATAATAATCTCTAAAACCTACATTTAAGTTGTATTACAAGTCCCACTGATATGTTACAACTTTAAAACTACAAATTACAAAAATTCCTCAGCCTTTGGATATTTAAAACTGCACAAAATTGATATAGACAGCATTAGTCCGATATATGCCCTCCTGGGTAAAAACATAAATATCCAATTTCGGTTTAATTTTTTTTTGCTATTTTAGCATGGTTGTTTTAACATGATTCTCTTACACTGTAACTTTTTTAAAGCCGCATGCCTCCAGATGAGCCAAACTATTTCAAGAAAATCAAACTTGAGAAAAACGCACTATAATGACTAAGATTTTAAGTAAAGTAAAAAAGATTCAAGTAATAATTTGCATGTTATGTGCAATTTACATGTTATGTGCAATTCATAACTGATTTTGCAGCATTTATCACCATATTTCTACTTACACATTAAGGGTTACTTTTGCAAGTTTTAACCTCTTTTTGGTAACATACGTATGTGGATTATAAGTGGCGTTTTCAATGTGCAAATTACTTTCTTCCTTCCCTTCACAAAATTTTACTTTTAAATACTTTGTCATGAAACTTAGCATGAATCTGGAGGCATGCTGCTTTAATGTTACGTATTACTGTAACTCATGTTCAGTTATTTATGAAGAACTATTACCTCAGCATTATGGTTAATGGAAGATCATTAGACATTTTATCTAGGGCCTCGGTCCCTCCTGTAGCTATCTTGTGTACTTTATCTTTCAGTGGACTAGATGTGGCATACAGCGGGTATTTCTCCTTCAACAACTCCTGAATGTTTGGTTGCCGTAGAAATAACACAACTTTATCATTGTACGCTGCAATATACATATAGAAATAGACAACAACTTATAATCAAAGACTTGAATAATATAAATATGTTGATTTAAAAATAATGTTTTTTTATTTTTTGGCTGGGCTTTAAGATGCATCAATACAGTATAGGTAATAAGGCGACTTTGCAGCTTTACTGGTGGAGGAAGACCTCAGGTGCCCTTCCATGCAATAATTCAGGCATGGATGGCCTTCATAATAATTTTACAGTTTTCTTTTTATAGAACCAAGATCAAGAGTCTCATCAATGTTGGGTGTGTACTAATGTTTTAACTATTAATTTCTAAAATGGACTTGTCCAGCTTCCCTTTTAGGACCTGTCCATTATCAAGTTAGCGATATCAAGTTTGTTAGCCAACAGAATAGAGGCTGGTCTGATTCTATACTGGTGTGTGGGTAACACATCCCTTTCGGTTCAAACAGGTAATAGTTGAAAGTCGTCTTCTGTTAATTTTTGGCAAGGAAATGTAGATACTACTGTAGTTTTAGCAATGCACCTTGTTAAGCTTTGATTTATGAATTGATTAACCTCATTTGCTGTCAATATTTAATGCTATAAATCTTATCGTAGAATCAGTCAGTATGATTTTATTATGGTAACTCTGTCAACTGTTAACCTCATAAATTATAAATAAGGTCTGCAATTGTAACTAAGGTAACTTATCAGCTATCATGGTTAATATAAGAGAAGTAAGTCTGTATGATTCTGGTATGGTAATTCTGTCAACAGTTATCATCGTAACTATTATAAGCTAAATTTTGCCAAATACGAGGAATGATCAAAAAGTTTTGTCACTGCCTCGATTAAAAAACCATCAGTTTGTCGAATATTTTTTTCTTTTATATTAATAAACAAATGTAATTTCAGTTATGTTAAGAAATTATTCCAAAACTTACAAATATAGTTTCTTGGTAAAGTTTTAATTTTACCTGTTGGAACAGCACTGTGATCTGTTATTGGTTGACGGGGAGGTGGTGTAGGCTGAAATAATATTATATTATAATATTAAATGAATTTCTTACTAGCACTGAAAATATATCAGTTCCACCACTATTTCATGTAATAAAATTCAAAGAAAGTAAACTTTATAGTTCTTTTTGAACATATTAAAATTATTGGAAAGTAAAATTCCATTCATCTAAGATAACAAGAAATGTCGGTAAGAGAGAGTGATAAACTTGAAAGTGAAACAAAAGCCTGGATAATGTAGAATTTTTTTCTAGATTTGAAAATACAATGCATCAATTTGCATGCAAAAACTTAACCAAAGTGATACACAGACAACGAGATCGTCTGGATGAGTACAATAGCTCTCCCTATTCTTCAAATAGTCAATCAAATATCTCTGTCCCAAAAAAGAAAATGTCTCTTTAAATGTACAAGACAGTTTCCACTAATTAGCCATTAGTATTGATAAAGTTCACTGCCATATTAATTTTGTAAGATTTTACATACAAATATGAATTTATGCAGATAACACCAAAGACATAATTGAAGCATGGATGAAAAAACACATCAAGAAATATTATGAAAATTAATTATTAATGTATCAAAGATAAAAATACAGTTAAACATGAAAGTTACAGCCATCATACATACAGCTTCACTGCGTGTAGGTGAGTGTTCCTGGCCACCTGACCTATGTCGTACACGTATCAATGATGTGTGTAGAAAGTCTGGATTTACTGGCGGAACATCTGCTGGAAGTCGAGGATCTATAAATGTTGTACCCTTCAAATGATGATCTATGAAAAATGGCTGAAATAAAGACAATGTCAAAATCATTAAATATCTGACAATCTTGTATCCTAGACTGATCATTTGGTACAGTCACCTTTAATTTACATTGTGCAACCTAAATTGATGTTGTCTACATCTTACACCATTTCCTGCACAACCTCTCAAGGTAGCATGACAAAACTAGCTCTGCAATCCATTTGATTATGTGTCACAGAATTTCATTGGTTACTTTTGCATATTTAGTGGGATTCTGTTATATTTTTAACCAGTCAGAATTTGTATTCCATCTATGGTATAAAAATTATATCAATATATCTTCACAGAAGTGAAAACTTTTACACGATATTATGATACCGACAAAGAGAGTGTTGCATCAATTTTCTTTTCCATAAAATTAATTGTTTTACCAGATTGTTAACAGTAAATTGCTTTACCAGATTCATATAAATAAATTTTATTTTGAACTCACTTTAGAGTTGGTTTTATCAAACTTCATCTCCCAGCCTTCAGGTAATTCTTTGGTCATATCAGCAAACAAATTGAGGAACGCTACCAGATCACGATTATGCTGATACCTGTAAACAATGAAAATATCTGGTAAAATTTTCTGCTATTATCAGGACTGTCAGGGTACTGTTTTGTTATACAGCCTTAAGAAATAGCGTTTACTTTCTGTTTACTTTTTAAGTTGAAGAGGTCACATTTTATATCTCTAGCCATGTTATACCAATTATACATTGCCCCTTTGACATTTGTACTCCACTGCACATTGCCCCACCCCTTCCAGCACACATTTACCCTTTATTTTGATGTGGCAGTCATTTGCACCCTCATATATTTTGAAAGTGTAGTCATCTTTAACAAATGGGGGCAAATTTTCAAATATCCTTGTTGACAACTTTGCACAGCAAGTCATTGTGGACTTAATAATCAATAATGAACTAATCTTTTAATTGTTCTAAACTATTTCAATTAATTGTTAGTTGAAAGGGGCCATATATTTTTTACAATTCTTACACTGTCTAGAGCAAAATTTCAGACATTTGTCTTTTAGAATAATTAAATAAGATAGCATAACATTCTTGCTGCAAATAAGGTTATTTCAGATTTTGATATTTACCCGGATGAAAATTATCTCTGTGATAGTTTACTCATTTCTAAGACAGTTTCACATGTCAAAGACATTATGGCATGTATGCTTTTAGTTATCATTCTTAAAATAAAAGGCATTTTCATAAGTAGATATTTTCATCAGAAAAATGAAGTTGTCTCCCCTACCTTTCAAAATTAGCCGGATCTTTGCGTATTTTGTTGATCATGTGTTTGAGGGTCTGGTTCCTGTTATATTCCATCATTCCATTTTCATTTGCCTGGAGAAGTGGGAAGAAATCTGGTCGCATGAGAAATTTGACTGCCGGTTGACGGTACGTTCCCCGATTCTCTGATGTGGCCATCATCGTTACTGGTGCTGCTATCACAGTCTGTGCCGAGGTCTGCGGACTTCCATCACTTGTACCTAAAATGATTGAAGTTATAAATTTCATGATACCACTCATTTTGTAAAAAGTTTCAGGTGCACTAAATATTTCAGGCAGCAATAAGGACAAGTTAAGTCCCATTGGTCTTCTTTTTTTTTCTTGTGTTGATTAAAATTTATCATAGAGGAAAATCTACCGCCTTACTTGTTTACATAATTATATTGTACCTGACAAACAACTAGTCCTAAACTAACAATGCATAAAAGATTAATTTCAAAAAAGGACATGTCATTCATTAAAGAACAGTGTTTACAAATTAAAGTTTTTTGTCTGTTTTGTTAGAACACTTTCACACAGACACTGTAACAAGAGGGCCATGATGGCCCTGAGGTCGCTCACCTGTATATAGCCCCCCCCCCACCGTTGCAGGGCCAATTTAACCCAAGGGCTTTTATTTGCGCAAACTCAGTAGACACCCATAAGAAGATGTTTCATGCTAAACATCTAAGCTCTAGCTCATTGGGCTTTATTGAAAGAAGACTTTTTTTAAGTTTTTACTACATGTATACACATATAGTTAAAAACAATGACACCCCTGGGGCCGGGCCAGTTTTGACCCCAGGGCCTTTATTTGAACAAACTTTGTAGACACTTACTAGAAGATGTTTCATGCTTAATATCTAAACTCTAGCTATTTGGGTTTTTTCAAAGAAGATTTTTAAGTTTTTGCTATACACATATAAAGAAAATCAATGACCCCCGGGGCGGGGCCAATTTTGACCCCAGGTCTTTTATTTGAACAAACTTTGTAGACACTCACTAAAAGATGTTTCATGCTTAATATCTTAACTCTAGCTATTTGGGTTTTTTCAAAGAAGATTTTTTAAGTTTTTGCTATACACATATAAGGAAAATCAATGACCCCCGGGGCGGTGCCAGTTTTGACCCCAGGGCTTTTATTTGAACAAACTTGGTAGACACCTATTGGAACATGTTTGATGCTAAATATCTTAGCCATAGCTCTTTGAGTTCTTTAAAAGAAGATTTTTTAAGTTTTTTACTATATGCATATAGGGAAAATCAATGATCCCCCGGGGCGGGCCAATTTAGACCCCCAGGGCTTTTTATTTGAACAAACTTGGTAGACACTTATTAGAACATGTTTCATGCTAAATATCTTAGCTTTAACTCTTTTGGTTCTTTAAAAGAAGATTTTTTAAGTTTTTTACTATATGCATATAGGGAAAATCAATGACCCCCCTGGGGCGGGGCCAATTTTGACCCCAGGGCTTTTTATTTGAACAAACTTGGTAGACACCTATTAGAACATGTTTCATGCTAAAAATCTTAGCTCTAGCTCTTTTGGTTCTTTAAAAGAAGATTTTTTTAAGTTTTACTATATGCATATAGGGAAAATCAATGACCCCCCTGGGGCGGGGCCAATTTTGACTCCAGGGCTTTTATTTGAACAAAACTTGGTAGACACTTATTAGAACATGTTTCATGCTAAATATATTAGCTTTAACTCTTTTGGTTCTTTAAAAGAAGATTTTTTAAGTTTTTACTATATGCATATAGGGAAAATCAATGACCCCCCTGGGGCGGGGCCAATTTTGACCCCAGGGCTTTTATTTGAACAAACTTGGTAGACACCTATTAGAACATGTTTGATGCTAAATATCTTAGCCATAGCTCTTTGAGTTCTTTAAAAGAAGATTTTTTAAGTTTTTACTATATGCATATAGGGAAAATCAATGACCCCCCGGGGCGGGGCCAATTTTGACCCCAGGGCTTTTATTTGAACAAACTTGGTAGACACCCATTAGAACATGTTTCATGCTAAATATCTTAGCTGTAGCTCTCTTGGTTCTTTAAAAGAAGATTTTTTAAGTTTTTACTATATGTTTATAGGGAAAATCAATGACCCCCCCCGGGGCGGGGCCAATTTTGACCCCAGGGCTTTTATTTGAACAAACTTGGTAGACACTCACTAGAAGATGTTTCATGCCAAATATCTAAGCTCTAGCTCTTATGGTTTTTTAAAAGAAGATATTTAAAGTTTTTTCTTTCGGTTGCCATGGCAGGCTGTCCAGCACCTTCTGACAAAAAATTAGGGCAAATTTTAGGGCAATTCTTAAGAAATTTTAGGGCTAAAATTAGGAATTTTAGGGTAAATATAAGAAATTTTAGGGCTAAAATTTGGAATTTTATAACTAAATAATGGCCTCAAAAGACCATGATATGGGCTCAACTTTGCATATTTAACACAAAAGTAACTCACAAATAATGCTCTAGTTTGGTTATAGCAAAGGTGTTACCAGTGTTCCATAGTCACCAGTGAAATAATGGATTCACTGGTCAACTGCCTTTAAAAAAGAGCTGAAAAAATTACATTAAAAACATACCTACAATGAAAAAATTTTCAAAGTTATAAGAATCCCGGAACAACCAATATTCAATTAGCTAAGCTTTGATTAGCCAATAATAAATGGAAGGGCCTGGAGAAATTATGCTTTAGATTTATTTTAGCTATAAATGCATTTCTTATCAAAATTTATTCATTTTAAGGTTGGTAGATTTTCCACCAGTCTTGATCTTTCTTAAAAGACAGTAAAAACGATATGACCCACTCAAGTCATTTCAAGGAATAATTAAACTTAAATTCAAACACCAGGGTATACACCTATAAAGAATTTGTTCAAGATTAATCAGGCTACTAAAAATTGTAGAAAATTTCACAACAGTGTCAGTTTTTTCAATGATTTTCAACAGTTTTTTTTCCAAATTGTAAAAAACTTACACAATATGTTAGAACATATGTTCAGTACATGTTAATGTGTACAAAAAGGGCAGCTGAAGGTGTCACTTCTTAAGACTAGTACGCTTATTGGGTTAGCAAAATGGTTAAGGCATCAAATCATTACTGCCAGTTTACCCTACTCACATTATAATTAGCTATTATGGAAACTTGTCTACATCTGCCAGCTGGTATCACTTACAAAAGATCTGTTCTACAGTCATCACTTGAAAATAACTTGATTACAATTAAGATTTTATTAATGAAGGACCCCTAAATAAAGTTTGATGCAATTTAGTGGTTCATCATGTAAATAGTTGCTTTAAATACACCTTAGACTGAGGTAAAACTCTGTAGCCAATAAAAATGTAACTTCCATGGAAATTTTTGTATCACAATTTTAAACAGGTGACTCTTTTGATATAGTCAAAGTTGGACCATTTAAAACAAACAGTTTCTTATTATTTTTTCTGAATACACTAAACATCTGACAATTAATCAAGTATGGCATTTCTGCAGGAGTTGAAGTAAATACAACATGTGACATTATGCAATTTAGTCAGACTGTGTTCGAAATTAGGTTATGATTGAAATATGGTTGTTTCGCAATATGTTTATCACAAAGATAAAAAAAATAGGAATTTAAGTGAAAAAATAGGGCTTTTTTAGGAATTCCCTTTGAATTTTTCATTTTTTTAGGAATTTTAGCCAAACTGAAAAAAAGTAGGATTTTTTAGGAATTTTAGGGACGCTGGACAGCCTGCCATGGCAACCAGAGTTCTGCATGGAATTAAATTCTTTGAACAATTTTTAAAGGTGACCACCAAAGGAACATTCCTGTGAAGTTTGGATGAAATTGGCTTAGTGGTTTATGAGGAGATGTCATTTAAAGTAAAAGTTTACGGACGGACGACGGACGGACGGACGACGGACGGACGCCGGACGAAAAGCGATCACAAAAGCTCACCCTGTCACTTTGTGACAGGTGAGCTAAAAATCATATGGCAAATTTTCCAGATTTACTCATGTGCCCCTTAATGCATTATTCCTGGCACAAGCAGGCACCTGAGTAGAACCACCAGCCTTTTGTATAGTAACTGGATAACTTCCTCACACAGAAGAATCCAAAGTTCCTTAAAGTTGCAAGATAAGTAAGGGGCAAGTGATTTTAAGTTTGCCATCACTGACGTTCCATATATTAAAGGAAGGATAAAGTATCTTACACAAAATATGTCCCCTAATAGAAGAGCAATTCTACTTGCAAGAGAAGTAGTTTAGATGTTAATTTTTAAGAATTTAGCGAGGTCTAAATCAAGTAGTAAACTGATACCTGATGAAGTGCTTTCAGCCGAGTTACTGGCAGGTTCTGGTTCTTGTCGCTGTCGTATAGTGCGGCGTATACTCTGGTACCGTCGGTCCATTTGCTGACGTTGCTGAGAACTAATTGTTGGTCGCCGATGTATAGAACGTTGTCCACTTTGAGGTTTTTCCCAGGTTGTTGTACGATTAACATGGTCGATATAAAACACCCGATGATGCGAGTCAACCCTGGCTTCCCAACCTGATAAAACCAACATAATATTCTTGTCATGTTTTTTTGTTTTGTTTTTTTTTATTGTTGGATTTTATGTCGCACCAACACAGTATAGGTCATATGACGATTTTCCAGTTATACTGATGGAGGAAGACCTCAGTGCCCTTCCATGCATTATTTCAGGCACAAACAGGCACCTGAGTAAAACCACCAACGTTTAGTGAGCTAGCTGTACAGCTTCTTCACATGAAAGAATCCAAAGAACCAAAAATCAAAGGGGTAAAGGGCAAGTGGTTTGAACTCAATGACCTTAATCACTCAGCCATGGACACTCCTTAAAACTAATCAAATATCAAATTTTCCAAAGTAAAACATATCAAAAAGCATGACATTAAATAACAATTATGCAATAAATTGGGCCTGTCAACATTGTGAATGAGGATGAAGTAACATTTATAAAGATTTAATTAGACCATTAAAATTATTAGTTTTTCTAGTATAAACATAATGAATGTACTCCCACGAGATGTTCAACTAAATGTCAGCCTTCATTATAATGTCATGTTCTTTAAATGTAAACAATATCTAGTCCATATGTGTACCACATAAATCTTCATAATGTAACAATACACTTTAGATGAAATAAAATCATGAATAATCTAATTGTTTCTAAATGGAAATAAAACAAGTAAATCATAGATATTAACAAAATGCCATAATGCATGGTAACAAACTGGTATAACTCAGTCTTCACAACATTTTACAAACTCTATGATATATCAGCCTATTTTCAATATGCAAAATGTACAAAGAATGATGTCACATTATTTCAACACAACAATTACATGTATGAGGCTATCGGATTGTTAGTGTAAAACAGATTAGGTTTTTTATAAAATGTCCTAAAATCTGGCCAATGTATAATTTAAAATACAGGAATAACCAATTTAAAATGCATGTATGACAAATTTCAAACTTAAAATGCCAGTATAACCAATTTAAAATGCAGGTATAACAAATTTAAAATGCAGGTATAACCAATATTAAATGCAGGTATAACCAATTTAAAATGCAGCTATGATTACCATAAGTTGACTCAGAATCTTCCTTATACCCACCTGGTGGGAGGGGCACATCGCCCGGATTTGGCTCCACCCTATGATACCTTCGTCGAGCCGGCAACTTGGGTAACGGTGAAGAGGGTGGCCCAGCACTATCAACTAAAACAAAATTCAAATGTTAAGCAAGATCATATCAGTAAAAGTTAAATGTGCTTTTCATATAATCATCAAATTACTTTAATATTTCTTTGTTATATGTCACATGTCCTAAAAATATGCATTTTTTTTTCTAAGACAAATTTGGGTGCCCGTTGAAATGGAATGATTTGTAAGCTAGACAGACTGGGCTGCACTTACTTAAATCAATGTCATACACATACATTCATACATATGTACATTCAAAAAAGCTGACTATGTCATTTACATTGTCTGTTGACACAAAATCAGAAAGAAATTAAGGTCAGAGTCCATGAATATAAAATATAGCACATAAGGGATGTTTTGAATTTGCAAAAGTCACATCATGGGATAATTATCAAATATAAAGACAGATGATTTATTAACACTCATATTTATTCGGTCAAATAAAGGAAACAACAAGAGCACTGAATACGGTGCTCATGCCACTTGAAAAAATTGAATTCAGGAGATTATGGCTGTTAAGCACTTTACTTAACATTAAGATGAATGTTCAATTTATTGGTATTTAAACAATCATTGTCAATCATTATCCATGAGACAAAGGGGCATAACTCTAAGAATACTGATAATGTCCCTTGTCCTTTAAATGTGCCTTCCCATATGAAAGTTTGTCAAAAATGTGTTCAATATAGTTTTCAAAATTTTCAATCAATTCCCAATTTTAACAAACATTTCAAAAAAAGTTAAAACTGGGCATAGAGGTATTACTCATAAAATTTAGCTTTCAGAATATCTTTTTATCTAGTATCTTTGTATAACAACTGTGCCTCGTAAATCATCAATGTGAGTCTCATGTGGGTTACCTTTGATAAGTATTCAAATCATTCTACATAATTATATATATTGACAAAATAATTAAGTTAAAAAGGGTTATATATCTAAAAATATAGCTTTCAGAATATGACCTTTGTTTTACAACTGCACTTTGTCAAGATTATGAAGTATTCAAAGTTTTTAAAGTTTTTGCCTAAAATGATAACAAAGCAGCGATCATTATACCTCAACAAGGCAATAAATGGGTAAAATTTCTTTTTATCAACAAAAGTTCATTTAACAACTCAATAAGACAGACTTGTCAGGTATTAAAATGAAACTGTCAAAGCATAAATTAGAAAACAATGACCAAACAAAACAGAATTAGCTTTTGGAACTTACTTGAATCAATACTAGGTGGTGGATCATTTTCACCTAGATTTCTCAGTTGCCAGACAGTAGAACTTGCTGGAGTCGGTGACAGTCTACTGACGGCCATTGCACTTTGCCCCACTGGTGTCCCTCCCTCTGCCCCAGACACATGTAACGGTACCTCCGCCTGTGAAGTATCCATGGTTACGCCTGGATCATCAAATCTCTCCCAGCCACAGGTGCCATTTGTTAAACTCTGTGTTTCCGATGTCGGTGACGCTATATCAATATCACCAGCTTCGCTACCAAAACTGGAATTTGCACGTTCTTTCTTTTTCTGAGTCCACATTTGTAAATGCTGATGTATATTCTGTCTATTTTGTTGTTTTTCCTCATCACTAAGCACTCGGTTTCTTGGATGAATAATTGGCGGGGAAGGAGTACCTTCCCGACCAGTGCCTATAGCTCCAGGGCGGGGTGGCGTCTCTGGGCGCCCGGATGATAAATCAATTCCTGGATATGTTCTGACAGGAAGTGCAGGTGATCCGCCAGCTGCACCCTGGGGCTCAGCAATAGATGAGTCAACTACACGTCGAACAGCAGGACTTAACGACCGCCGTACGGGAAGTTTTGTACTCTGACTATCAAAAACACTACTTCCTGCACTATCAGTAGATAGTTGCCTATCAGTGACTCGTGGAGTATCCCTTGATCGCTGTCTACAGTATACAGGAGGTTGAAGCTCTAGCACTGGGCTGTAAATATTCTGACCTTCACTGTTCACAAGTTGCCCAGAATAATCCGAAGTCACTACAGTGTCAGTCTGAGGAACTTCACTTGATTGTCGGTTTAAAAATGGTGGTAAAGAAGGGGGCATGTCAAAATCAAACTGAGTATTTGATAATGGATCTAAATTTCTTAATCTATCAACAGGTATACTATCTACAGACCGCTGCCTGTCAAATGTTCTACTACGATCCATTATAGAGGACTGTGGGTCTACATGTCTATGTCTACCAACAGAATGCGATAAATTCAATGGTCTATGTGCATTTTGAGAATCTAATAATTTATGTCTTTCATCGGAAAACTGTGAGGTTTCTATAGGTTTATGTCTCTCTACCGGAGGAGGCGTGTCCTCCTGATCTCTACTACGTAACCTCTCTAAGGTCGGTGGGGTACAACTGCCCTCACTTACTGGTGCAAAATTTAAAGATCTTAATCTCTCCACTGGAGAGTCAAAGTTTTCACTGTGACTGCCTTCCGTTAATGACGAGTCAAATAGGCTATCAACAGGTTTATGTCTATGAACAATTGGTGGTGGTGTTTTGTTACTATCATCACGATTTAGCGACATTATTTCAGCAGATCTTCGCCACTCTCTTGTAGGTGGAGTAACAGGCCTTTGTGTTTCTAAAGAATCCGCACCTAAAACACCAGTTTGAGATGAAATTAACCCCCCTGAAAGACTATTCATATTCCGCCCTTGGGAAAGTCTATGTAATTTTTTATGTTCGCGCTTAATCACATCTTGACCTAAGCCACTAGATCGCCGCTCCCTTTCCGCTGAATCAGTCTGTAAGCTTTCATGTGAACCGGAAAATGCCTCCATACTATCAAAACTCCGGCTATCACTGTCCTCTGTTGACAACAGCGACATCGAGCCGCCACTTCCAGAATCCGTCCCTCGGTCCCCTCGATCCGCCCCTGCCATATGAACAGGACTGTATGTTCTTGGGGGTAAAGGAGGGGGCTCAAGGGGAGCTAAATTAACAAAGTCTAAACTTTCAACAGATCTTGCTGGACTTGTTGGTGTAGTGACACTATGTGTTGTAGACTGTGCAGATGAATGTTTGTCAGTGTTCCTAGGTGGAAGAGGCGGAGCCTCATTTGAACGATGTCGGGGAGGTAAGGGCGGAGCTTTGTATGTACGAGGGGGTAAATCAGGGGGCATCTGACTAACATCATCTTCTACATCAGGTAAATTAAGCGTTATTCCTTCTGCTAATTTAGGCCTTTCTTTCTTTGAAGCAAAACCGTGAGAAAGGTTGTCATCCAATAAATTCAAATTTGAAGAAAAATCAAGATTAGCAAAATTCCTTCTAGATTTTGAACTATCAATTGTAGGCCCTATACATGACGGCAAAATCTCTAATGAGTCAGAGAGATCACGTTTATCTGTTAATGTTGAACATTTATTTATCACAATTTCTAAGCCCATTGCGTTTGAGCCGTCAGAGTTATCTGCACTTGAAGGCAGAGCACTATCATCACTCCGTGTTCCCGACACATTCTTTAAACTACTTAAAAATCCACATGTTGTTACATTTGCACCTGAGCCTCCAACAGCCCCTATTTCATTGTCTGACTGAATGGTAACGTCAGCAGATGTCGCGGGAATTAATCCCTCTATATTATTCACTTCCCTATGATCACAGCCATTTTCAAATCCAGACACTACATCTACAGCACTATTATTTCCAAATGTATTTGGCACTGATGTAAAACTTGGTGAGAGAAACTCGTCCTCTTGGGAGTTGTCAAAATCATCGGATATTCGTAATTCACTTTCATGAAACAGTGTTGCAGCATTTTCTGAATCTGGTGACTCACTCGAGTCCTTCCCTAAAATGCCATTTAAACTGCTAATTGCAGTATCAGTGAAACAACGTTCCTTGTTTGCATAGTGAAATGTCTCTCCAAAGTCGGACGACTCTGGCAGGGATGATTGACGTAAATCATTGGGCCGTTTCCTCTTCGCTGGCACTGGCTTCCCAGATGGTTCTGAAATAAATTGTAAGTTAGTAACGAGATCTTACATTCCAAACATAAAAATTAATTTTCTCTATGCATGTTAAACAAACTTTATTCTTTAAAGCACCTCTCTTTGACTCAAACCTTTTTAAAGTTTCAAATATTAAGAAATATGTTCTTCATACAATAAGAGCTTTTATCTTGAACCTTCCTTTAAAGTGAATAAATCAGAAGTTTTTTTTCAAATTCAGACAGCCTTGGACAGCAAAGTAACTGAAACTTAGTCAAAACACTCATAATAAATGGAATGAATTGAAGTGTGAATTCAATTTAATAACAACTCAAGAATTATCAGATATGATTCAAAATTTGCAACAATGAAAATGCTTATTTTTATGATATTATTTATTACAGTTGTTTTCATATTGTATCAATAAATGACTACTGCATTGCAGAAATAACATATGCATGGGTTCAAGTACTTATTGTAACATATGACTATATAATAAACTTACTAAGTGGAGATTTTGTGACTCTAACGGAGAATTTCATGGCTCCACTAACACTCTCAGCTGGATTTCTCCGACTTAAGTCCAGTGACAGGGAAACAGGCCTGTGTGAATTAAAATAATATTTATTATAATCTACATTTAATGGCAATCTCCTGAAATAGAGCATTATGTTTATCAAATTTATATTTGATACAGTAATATACCATACAGTAATATACCACAAATATAGATTGAGCATATTATATATACTACTGGTCTAAACCCCAGGGGGCTAATCTAGGATTTAGCCTTTTTGATCACAAACAATATAATAGCAAAATCTTGTAAAAAAAAATTGTGTTAAACATGCCTTGTTTTCCAACTGTAAACTATACCACAAACACTAGTGTAATGCCTCACATGATATTGTAGCTAGCTCCTTGACCTTTACAACATTTTATATCACTTTATATCATCAGTGTCAGATCGTTGCTGTCATTACATATATACAAACAAACATGTCTCATAAATCATAAAAACTAGGTTCACCGGAAATAAAATATTACCAACTGCATAAATTTAACACATTTAAAACTTTTACACCAAAAAAAAAAAGGTAGAAAATTTTCACCAAACTTTAATTTCCCTCTCAAAAATAATTTAGTAAGCACAAAATTTTTACCCGTCATTTCCCGCTGCTTTATCCAGGATTCTCTGTACCGCCACTGTGGCTTTACCAAGAAAACGACTTAATGTTGGTCGACTTTTAGCAAATTTGTCTTTAATTTCAAACTCTATAATATCCGAGGGCAACACATCCATATCAAGTACCTGTAAAATAATCAAATAAAACAATCAAATACATCAAATACACAAAATCTTATGATTCTATTACTGCTTTACTACTTGGAAAGTTTTGAAGGAAAACAGAAATTTATTTGACCCATACTCTACAGTCCAGACAAGCCAGTATTAATTCCTTACCATACCTTATACCATATTCATATATTGCATGAATGTTAACATAAATTATTATTTTACAAATGATAGACAAAAAATTTCATCGCATATAATAAAACTCACTTTAGGCACTACACCATACAAATCATTAACTTTGTAGAGTTGAAGTTTTATACTGCAAAATCATTATTTTACATTGTGTACTCATTTTTTTCATGATTTTTCATGAATAGGTCAATCCATGAATTTAAGATCCAATAGAATTTCATTTTGTCTGCAACAAAATTACATGTATTTTGCATTACATCATTCACAATTAACTTTTTGCAAAAATCAACAAAAATGACCAATGAAAATGTTCTTTGTGACAACACCACAAAATTTCATGCCAACATGTGAATTCACAATATTACATTACTAGTCCTACTACCAAAACACATAAAGCTTGCAGGTTCCATGAATTGTCACCTTAGTGCAATAACATGATAACTCCTTATAAAATTTTACTGGAGTTGACCTGTTACTGCACTTAGGTGATGGACTGTATCACTGATATACAGACTGTATCACTGATATACAGACTGTATCACTGATATACAGACTGTATCACTGATATACAGACTGTATCACTGATATACAGACTGTATCACTGATATACACTGTATCACTGATATACGGACTATATTACTGATATACAGATGGTAATACTGATATACAGATGGTATTACTAAAATATGGACTGTACCACTGATAGACAGACTGTATCACTGATATTCAGACTTTATCACTGATTTAAGGACTGTATCACAGATATACCGACTGTCTCACTGATATAAAGACTGTTTCACTGATACACAGATGGTATCACTGATATACAGACTGCATCACTGATAGAAGGTATCACTTATATAAGGACTGTATCACCAATAAGAGACTGTATCACTGATATACAAGTTGTACATAAAGGAACGAAACATTTACCTCAGTGCCCCAGGTGGGACATGTTGTATTTTCGGCTATGGAGGTTCGCAGCTCATGTACATGATGGTCCTGGTGATGACACAGTTTACCAGGCTGTATACACAACTTCAAATACGGGTCCGGGTTGAAAAATATCCCTTTCTTTAAATTCACGGATTCCAAATCTGAAATAAATTTATTATAATCATCTTTACGTTGTCAAAATTAAATACTTTTAATTGTCATTCAAACCATGATGCTGCTCCTTCTCAAATGTCACATTAAAATCATAAATACGTAAACAATTCATGAAAACACTCACGCTTTTTCCTGTTTGTTATACAGCTAAATTTACCTGTTTCATTTCACTAGTAATGGATATGTGTGTTATCATGCTGTCATAGAGCATTATAGTTATATATCATGTTTTTGTTTCAAAAGGGAAACTAAATCTTTGTAATTACTTCTTTTACCTCTCAACAGGGTAAATGTCTTAAAGACTTTCTAATCATAACAATTCATCAATTTTTGGGGGGAAATTTCAAAATATGTACTGACTGAATAGTAGCAAACAGTGCAGACCATGATCAGATGGCACCAACTTTCCTGTAGATCTTGATCTACACTGGTCGCATTAATCGATAATTTAACCGAAAGTAGGCTAAAGGCTGATTACATACAGTGCAGACCATGATCAGACGGCACAACCTTTCCTTTAGATTGTGGTCTGCACTGGTCGCAAAACCAAAAGTTGGCTAAAAAGTTAATTACATTACAGTGCAGATAATAATTAGATGATACAAACTTTCCTGTAGATTGTGGTCTGCACTGGTCTCAAGAAAAGATTCCGTAACCAACAGATGGCTAAAAGATTTATTACTTAACAGTGCAGACCAAGATCAGATGGCACAAACTTTCCTCTTGATCTTTGGTCTGCACTGGTCGCATCAATATATTCTACAACCAACAGCAGCCTAAAGGGTAGATCTAATTACTTCATTAAAACATATAATTTTCATACTTATTCAAAACCCTTTCTTCCACAGCATTCCATGAGGAAAATTTTCAAAGGATAGAAACTTTTTACCTCATATCATATTATAAACATCAAATCAGAAGAATGAATGTAGTATAAAAACAAGAAATCATATATCACACAGACGTGTCAAGCACTATGAAAGTTATCCTCCATAATAAGAAAAAAAATGGAAGTTTCATTTTTCACTTTGTTACACAATCTATAGCTACAGGCTAAAATAGTCAGCTTTGTTTAGTGTAACAAGATTTTTTTTTTTACGTTTTACTTAAATTCTTTACACAAAAGACAACCTGCAAATGTTGCATCATTTAACAATTCACTTTAAGCTTCTTTTTTTATTTTTTTTGTGTTTAAATGTGATCAGATTCCTGACTTAATTATCATTAAAAACCTATAAAATGTCCTAAATGAACCCTAAGATAAAAGAATGGCCTTTTTTCTAATTACATATACTAAACTTAAATCAATAAGGGGGATATACTTAAGAGAGACAAACTAAAGTAAGATGTACTAAAGTTAGAAGGGGCATCTGTAGCCGAATGGTTAAGGTCTTTTTCTTCAAACCACTTGCCCCTCACCCCTGTGGGTTCAAATCCCAACAGGGACTTTGGTTTCTTTCATGTGAGGAGGCTATCCAGCTAGCTAATGGAACGTCTGTGCTTCTACTAAGGTGCAAGTTCTTGCCTGAAATAATGCATGGAAGGGCACCTGAGGTCTTCCTCCACCAGTAAAGCTGGAACGTCGCCATATGACCTATACAGTGTTGGTGTCACATAAAACCCAATCAAACAAACAAATAAACTAAAGTGAGAAGTACGAAAATGAGATGAACTAAAGTAAGCTGTACTGAAGTAAGATGTATGAAAATGAGATGAACTAAAGTAAAATGTACTGAAGTAAGATGTACGAAAATTAGATGAACTAAAGTAAGCTGTACTGAAGTGAGATGTACGAAAATGAGATGAACTAAGTAAAATGTACTGAAGTAAGATGTACGAAAATGAGATGAACTAAAGTAAGCTGTACTGAAGTAAGATGTACGAAAATGAGATGAACTAATTAAAATGTACTGAAGTAAGATGTACTTAAGTGAGCTGCACTAAAATGAGATGAACTTAAATGAAATGTACTAAAATAAGATGTACTAAAGTTAGATGTAAAGCCAGTTCTTAAAACTTTTTAAAACTTAAATCTTTACTTGAACCAGATACTGTTAGCCTCTTTAGTTAAAGTTAATGATTTTAAGTAACTTACTTAAATCATTGCTTAAATCAAGGGGGTAAACACCATTTGGTTCAGTTGCCCAGATATTGACCACTTTTTCACCATTTCTCTGATATCAATGTGAAAAATAATACACCTCAACTAACACTTTACGTGACAACGGCTACTGCAGTCATAAAACGAGTTTTAACAAGGATATCATTATATTTAAAGTTCAGAATACCTGTCACACCATTAACATGGCAGGGTGTATGGTATGTACCTCATCAGTAACCTATGATTATTTAACAGGGTATACAAAATGTGAAATCTCTTAATTTACCAGTGATGCAACAAAATTTACTGTCGCTAACCTTCGAAAATCCACCCTCACTTTACCACTTCATGTTCAATATCAAGTCCATGTTTTGTTAACAGATGTAAAACTTTCTTCCTTAAATAATTCTCTCCATTAATATGACTTAAATAGCCAGTAGTTCAATGACAAGATTCTGTTGCTATTCCTGGTTATATTGACATGTACTTGAACTTTGTAAGACAACGAAAATGAGGAAATAGGATATGATTATTAATGATATTATTAATTAAAGATAAAAATGAGGAAATATGGCATATTTTAATGAGCTTATTATGAAAATCTCATTCATGGCACAATAATTAATTATAGATTTGTTAACATCCACTCCCTTTATATTTCATGATTTGTACAAAGGACTTGTCCAGCTTTAAATTGGGAGAGTTGAATGTTGTTAATCAGAGGGATATTAAAAACAAGATAAAAGTATTACCTAAATTTATCAACTTATGGTATACTAAAAATCCACAAGAGGTACGACATTAGTACATCCTGAAACAGCTCTAATCTGTAGGAATGGTTGCCAGCACTCAAAGGAACAATGACACCAATTTGTGTTTTATTCATTCAATAATGACTGACAAAAACCTCTCTAATTGATATTAAACTTTCAATTTTGTTCTCCTATGAAAGGGAAAAATACATTCGTATTTTGGTCTAAGATTAGATAAAGTAGTTCTGAGGTTTTAGTTAAAGTAACGATAAGACGTGTTAATATTTGCTCGACAAACAACTTGTAAGCTGTGATCCCCTTTAACACAATATAAGAATGCTTGCAATTTAATCCATCTTCTTAAGGCTACTGAAGATATAACGAAATATGTTCAGGTCACACTCAGTTCAACAGATGGCCTCAGCCGTTCCCAATTTATACAATACTCTAAAATTGTATACATTTAAAGAAATGCATGTAATTTGAAATACAAAACACATTGAATGTCATCAGATGTCTTCATCAAAATTTCATTTTACAGTTTGCAGCTTAATTGTATCCTCTCAGTACTGCTATGCTGGACAGTACCAAGGGCCTATGCTGGATTGACAAGTACCTACAAGTACCTATGCTGAATTGACAAGTACCTACAAGTACCTATGCTGAATTGACAAGTACCTACAAGTACCTATGCTGAATTGACAAGTACCTACAAGTACCTATGCTGAATTGACAAGTATCTACAAGTACCTATGCTGAATTGACATGTACCTACAAGTACCTATGCTGAATTGACATGTACCTACAAGTACCTATGCTGAATTGACAAGTACCTACAAGTACCTATGCTGAATTGACAAGTACCTACAAGTACCTATGCTGGACATGTACCTACAAGTACCTATGCTGAATTGACAAGTACCTACAAGTACCTATGCTGGATTTACAAGTACATATGCTGGAGCATCAAGCACCTATGGCCTGACAAGTACCTATGCTGAATTGACAAGTACCTACAAGTACCTATGCTGGATTTACAAGTACATATGCTGGAGCATCAAGCACCTATGGCCTGACAAGTACCTATGCTGAATTGACAAGTACCTACAAGTACCTATGCTGGATTTACAAGTACATATGCTGGGCATCAAGCACCTATGGCCTGACAAGTACCTATGCTGAATTGACAAGTACCTACAAGTACCTATGCTGAATTGACAAGTACCTACAAGTACCTATGCTGAATTGACAAGTACCTACAAGTACCTATGCTGGATTGACATGTACCTACAAGTACCTATGCTGAATTGACAAGTACCTACAAGTACCTATGCTGGATTTACAAGTACATATGCTGGAGCATCAAGCACCTATGGCCTGACAAGTACCTATGATGGATTGACAAAAACCTATGCTGGAGTCATTAGTACCTATGCTGAACGGATATGTACCTATGCTGTATTGACAAGTACATATGCTGGACCCATAAGTACATATGCTTGAACCATTCTAGTACCTATGTTGGATATGCTAAATTGACAAAAACCAATGCTGGACCCATAAGTACCTATGCTGGATTGACAAAAACCTATGATGTAGCCATTAGTACCTATGCTGAACTGCAATGTGCCTATGCTGGATTGACGAGTACCCATGCTGGATTGACAAAAACCTATGCTGCACCCATTAAAGTAACTATGCTGGACTGATTAATACCTATGCTGGATTGAAAAGAATCTATGCTGGCCTTTTTATTGTTTTTGATTCTTTCATAAACTTACCTGAAAATTCCAAATGAACAAATTTTGTATTGGTTGGAGAGTCTTTTAGTTTGTTATCACCACAGGCACCATTCTGAAATAGGCAAAAATCAAACAATTGTGTAATATATAAAAGTACCATATATGGACTTCAATATTGAAGCTACAAACAGTATAGAGCCTGATCAGACTGCATAATTTTATATACATAGGCCCCCCTATTTTTTATATACAAATGTATATTATGCATGTACCAATCTACAGCTTAATTTTTGGACATACATGTACCGATATATAGTTTAATTTTCATTTTTGGACACAGCTCTTTTTCCTGACTGTCATAAGAGAATTTACATATATTATCTATCTTCTACATCATATAAACATCTATTATGAATTAATCATATATTATAAAATCTATACATGAGTGCATCCAAACTGCTACATACTGCAACCAGATCTCCACCCATCTTTTATATCCACCCGAAACTTGCTTGTACTGGCTACACAATACACCTTTTTAGAAATATCTCATTTTGTATACATTCTAGTGAAATCTGAGAACACTTTTATTTCATACTTGAAAATCAAGACATTGAAACCTAGTGTAAACAAGATATGATTTGAACACAGGCATTATTATGTATAGTTTATCTTTGCCATCAATCCTGGTGCTATACACCTTATCAATCTGTCTAATATACTTTCATATATAACTAAAATTTATGCATACTAAGTGAAACTATCCACGGCAACACAAATATTTTTGGCTAAAAAACAATTAAGTACACAAGTATGACGTATGTTTTAACTAGAGCTGTCATTCATAGAAACAATATTGATCTATTGTCGTTTTTCTGTCGATTAATACTTGATAAAGATTAGAAAAAAATTGTTAATTTTGACTTGAATGAAATGTTGAGAAATTATGAAAATTCACCCAAAACATATATCGAAACAAGTTTCCAGTCAAAGGACATGTTTAAAACTGTCCTGTTGTATTAGTAATGGACATATTTCATAGCAGTGGTGACACAAAAAGGTCAGAAAAATCATCCAGTGGACAATACACATCATAATTGTATGCACAGAACATGTACCGCTACTTTAGTCAGAAATCATCAAAAACCGGTTGTTTTACCAATATTTGTACTTCGATATCGATATATCGTGGAATACTTTTAAATGAATCAATGACTGTGAGCTATATACTAACCTTATTTTAAGAAGAAAATTCAGTTTTGACATTAAGATATTAACTTATTTAAAAGAGCAGTTGGTAGGACAGCATACTTGAGTATTCGTAAATCAAAAGTCAGGATAATGTAAAATAATTCAGGTTCAAAAATGGCTATAATATTCTGTCAAAATCCATGTTAAGGTTATGGGCATTTGACTACAACCTCCAATTATGCTCTCAAATAAGACTAAGTGTGTGAAGTTTCAACCCATTCCCTGCAGTCATTTTGGAGTTACAAACTTTCATGCAAAAACCTAACCAAAATATGATGCCATAATGCCTGGGTGAGTACAATAGCTCTTCCTATTCTTCGAAAACTTCAAGGTAAAAGCAAGAAACATTAAAAGCTGACAACTGCATGAATTTTCTTATTTCACAATGGGGGAAAATATCCATTAATGGCCATACAAATGCCAGTTGCCAACAATAATGACGTATAACATCATCCTGACTTCCAATCTTATGCTAATAAAAACACCACATTTTAATCCAAATAGTAATAGTAAGAATGTAATGTAAGAAATAAAATACGCTGGTCTGAGTGTAAGAGAATCACAACTTAACTATGATATGACTTTTAATACAACTTTTGATTGAAAGACAGTAATATTTATCTCACAGCATACATACACACAAAACGCATATATCATTCATTCTATTATTGTTCTACATTAAAAAAATATTCCCATTCAAACGTCCACTGCCTTGATTACCTCAGTGCTAATATCCAGTAATTTCTTCCTCCTTAACTAATATTACATATTAGCACATTAACATCCATTATTAACTTCCATGTTAAAACAGCCATTTTATTATATCAAGTATCGAATGAAAACCAACCAAACTATGCAGCTTAATTCACGGGCAAACCAAAGAATGTAATTAATAAAGTGTTCAAACTTAACAACGGTCATATCTCATAACATACACTTAATCACAAATTTTGGTAATACATTCTGCCAACAGACTAATATTAACCACTGCTTGTATTCAACATGATTGCACGAGTACTTCTGGTGGCAACAATCCTTTCATTGTATGCACATGATAAAGAAACCAAAGGAAACAAAAACAAACAATCTACTTTATCCTTAAGATCGACACTCTCACCCGAAATATGAATACAGTATCAAATTATCTAAAATGATCGTGTTGACACAATTTCAGATAATCGCAGGCCCGTCTGTTCTGGCTAAATGTCTGGCTGAATTTGATAAGTGAATGTTAATATCGCTATTATAAGGGTGAAATTGATTTTGTTAAAATTTTATCATACCAATACAGCTATTTCAGAAAATAAATTACACTTGGATAAAATTCATGCACTGGCTTACAAAGAGAGATCGTTCAAGCATTTTAACACTCTGTAGCCTATATGTCTATTTCAGCTTTTCAGAATATATCGGGCCAGTTTTTCTGCACTGCAGAAAATATTTGACCAGTTTTTCTGCACTGAAGAATATATTGGGCCAATTTTTCTGAACTTCAGTAATATATTGGGTCTTTCTCTTTCTGCTTTCAGAATACATTGGGCCAGTTTTTCAGCACTGCAGAATATATTGGGCCAGTTTTTCTGCACTGCAGTATATATTGGGCCAGTTTTTCAGCACTGCAGAATATATTGGACCAATCCTTTTCTGCTTTTCAGACAAGCCTCTTCCTGCACTGCAGAATATATTGGGCCAGCCTTTTTCTGCACTGCAGAATATATTGAGCTAGTCTTCATTCTTTCTGTAAGCCATTAAGGAGAATAACCACAGGAAAATCAGGTAAACTTTTTTATACATTAGAATGTTGTCAGCCTACAATAACGAGATTTCATCAAGCAATATGAATTATTTAAAATTTAAATTCTAATCATAAGACAGATATCATATGCATATGACAAGATTCAAACCAACTTTATATATTAATGTTTACTCTACTAATTCTCAAGATAGGAAGTGAATCATTAACAAGAAATTTATCATTTATCACTTACTATTTTATTCAAATATGATAATCTTTTTTCATTTAAAATACCAGTACACGAAAAAATAACGCAACCACAAAAGTATTATAATATTGTGATATCATACAAACATCCTTAAGGCTGCCCTTAACCAATTTAAATACCGAATAAGAAAGAGACACAAATACTTTACAAATCATATAAATCTAGCAATCTCTCACGTTTTGTCATAACATTTACTTCACGCTTAATTTAACACGTACTATAAAAGTATCAAGCGCAACTTCCAATATCTGGCCTACAAATTTCAACATCAAATTAATTTTCGGCATTTTTATAGTCATTTAATAAATATCTTTTCAGAAGCATTGCCCGTCAGTTTTTAAATCAGTCACTTTACACACAGTCTATCAAAAGCCCAAAGTCAGTATGTCTACAAGCAAGACCACAAGTTTTGAAAATCTAGTACATTTGACCTTCGGCAACGCTAAAGTTGTAGTTTTAAGTTTACCGGTATATATATCTTATTATACACATTTCAGTTTAAGTTTACATAGCATTATTTAACACTGTAAAGGTATGGCGGGGTTCCGGCTTTTCTGGTGGAGAAAGAACTCAGTTGCCCCATCCAAGCAAAAACAGGTACATGAGAAGAATAAATAACATTCCTTAGCCTTTACTCACAGGAAATAATCCAAAGCCCCTACAGGGATTTGAACCTACAGCTGTTAGGAGCAAGTGGTATGGAGTCAACAACCTTCACAACTTGGTCATGGATGCCCCAATATACATTTAACACTTCAGAAACAAACCTATTTATATCATTTACAATATTAATCTCTTTGTACAAGATAAAAAATTTCTGTAAATTTTCTTTTAAACATGTGTCCTTATAGAATCTACCACTTTTGAAAACAGCTTTTATCATCCAATCAATTTGACTTGTAACTTTGTTTACCCTGCTCCAATGGAACCAAAAAGTGATAAGCCTTTAATACCCACAAGTACAGAATCAGGCCAGTCTGAATGTCCATTCAGTCTGATCAGGCCAAATCCTGTGCCATTGACTTCTATAGCAATGAAGCTTAGATGAGTATAAGGTCATAAATTAATTCAAGATTTAACTCATTAAAGAAGCTCAAATCAAACATCGTTGAAAAAAAACAACAATTTTATAATGATGATAACTGATCAATTAAGAATGCACTCCTTGTATCATATAGAGACATTACATTTTAGTAGATACTATCATCACAAATAAACACGTTTATAGTTAATTGATATAATTATCAAAACTTTCATCTCATCGCTTACCTTCAATCTTAATGAAGTGTCAAAAATCCTTCAAAATATGTGAAAAGTTAAAAATCACTTAATACTTAATACAGTATAAAAGATAAACAATTTGTCCTACTGTTATAATCCATGAGGAGCTTTACATACTTATCATACTACAAACAGCACGATTTGCTAACCGTTTCAAATCAATCGGCAAAACTGTAAAGGCAATTAGATAATCCTTTATTCGTATATATCCTATCAATAAAGTTTAATTGTATGAAACAGAAGTGGTAAATAAGCCATGCAAACAAAAACCGTGAAATGGTCAAACTGTCGAGTGACTCACATATTTACCTATAAATACTACTAGCATGGTTAATACCATTAGCTTGACACAATGCGAGACATAATGTTTTGTAATAAAATATCGGGGACTATATTATTTTGATCAGATTATGTCAAGATCACAGTATACGTTCTGTCATACAATACGAGACTGAGATCGCGGTGAGTCAGCTTGTTCAATATAATGATTTCAGTACTTTGTATCGTTCCTCGTTCCTTCGTTTATTATTCATTACACGTTACGCAGGGTGTCTAGATTCATCAGATACTTAGTATA